ATATATATATATATATATATATATATATATATATATATATATACATATGTATATATAAAATATTCCAATGATATATCCTCTAATTGCCGCTGGAATAGACTAAACACTGTGGAAAAACTTACAAAGTTACGCAGATTCTCAACGGCTTCAAGGACGATTTCCTGTCGACCAATAGCCTTCATGCCCAAATTTTCCAATTCATATGGCCGTATATTGAGCAGTGCTCGACCTCCGATTTCGTGTTTTGAAAATTCGTATAAATAGGCTTCCATGGACTCGTCGAGACCTGTGCAACAAGTAACAGAAGCAAATCCATTAATAAAATTATTTCAATTAAGATTTTCTTGTGAAAGGAATGTGGCTGTTGCTGCTCTTGCTTCTGTTGTTGTTGTTAGTGCTGCTGCTGTTGCTGCTGCTGCACTTTTCCTTGACCTGTTAAGTGAGCTATAGATTTACCTCGGATCCAGTCTGTAACTTGGTCGGGCGTCCATTCTGCTATATTTATATAGGCCATACTAATTGAAAGAAGCACTAGCCGATTTCGCACAGCTACTCCATCATAATTTCAACACAACATAAACAATTGATTAAAATAAAAAAGAGTTTTTGTCCAGTGCCAGGGCTGGCTATTCACGAAGTTATCTGATATTGTTGCGTCCGCTGGGCTGCAATAGAGATGTGCGTATTGTAAGCAACTGCTACTTATCACGAGATGCTGAAGTCACAGTTTGTCATGGAATAACTTAAATGGAGGAACATAATCACAGTTAGGAGTTTATCACTATGTATTTTATTCAATTCCATCTACTAACTATATAGCTGCAACATTTTGCAATATAAATTTAAATACTAGCCCCCTTATCTCCTGTACAGCAATATTGTAGTGCTGTAAAACATCGCCAGATATCAAAAATATATCGGCAGCAGCCACAGCCTCTATTTGTCTAGCCATCACAATAAACAGCTGATTTAAATAATCAGTGTTAAGTAACCGTTGCTCGATTTGCATGTTCACCACCAAAAACAGCTGCTCAACAGCAACAAAAAATACTGAAAATACCTATACAATAAATTTTAATCTGCTCTGATGTCCAAATGTTATGAATAAAATATCTTATTAAATTTTTGTACATTACATACAGCTTATTGTTAAATTAGATTCAACTAGCATTAAAACAATAACAACGCAACTGCGCACATTGGCGAGGTTTACTACATGTTAACGAGTTCATGGGGTGAGAGCGAAAGAGAGAGTGAGAAAGAGAGACGACAAAGCAATCACCGCGTGGTTCCTCACGTTTTGAGCACATTGCAATTGCAGCAGCACATAACATTAGGGGAATATGTCTGTGACACAGACAAAACAAATCAAATTTTACCATCCAACGAGTTCCGCAAGTTCTGACAGGTAACAAAAATATGTGGTGATATTTGTGATACGTGAAATTCACCCAAAAGTCATTCATCACCAAAAATCCCTAACACTTGAGCACGCAATTAAAATTTGTCAAATCGCATACCTGTGAATGTATGTATGTATGCAGGTACACACCAACACGCATGTATGTTTGAATAATTATTATTATTATACATAACCGTATGATATATCGTGTCATGTAAATATACATACGCATATATGTATACATACTCACATATGTATGTATGTATATATGATCACATTCATTTTCATTCGCTACTGAAATTCGACGTCCGCCTGCTGTAGCATCGAAATTAAAAAAACGTTTCATACAAACAAGAAACACAAGCACAGTTATAACGCAGTGAAGCAGCAGCAGCAGCAACGAAAAGTGGCTGCTCTACCTTTCGGCTCTACCTTCGTCGTCGTCGTCGCTGTCGTTGTTCTGGTGTCGTCGTCGTCGTCGACGTCGTTAGTTGCTTCTAACCTTAGCTCTGCGAATAGACAGTCGCTGAAATAGACAACGGCCGATTGCGATTTCTTCACACACGTTTAGTCATTCTCCAACGCGTCTGCAGCGTGTTGCTTGTATTTTGACCGGTGCCGGTAGCCAATACACTGCAAATATACAAAAGCTAATCTAACACTTAAAATAATATCAAGCAGCTGTAATAATAATAACAACAACAACAATTCAGTTCGAAAGCACGCTACTGCTGTAGCGCCGCCAGTAAATAAATCGCAACCCACATGCGAAATCGTTGTGCACTTTGTGAAAACATTCGTGTGTGTGAGTGTGGGAGTGCGTCGTGCTTGTGGACGTGTCTGTGACTGTGCATGTGCTTGTGTGTGCGCAAGTGATTGACCCATTTTGCTGCTTTATTTCGATATACTGAACGAGTACGCGTCGTTGAATTGGTTTCAGCTCATTGGGTAAAATGAGCAGCATCACGTTTTTATGCAGCAAAAGTAGCAGTAATAATATCAATAAAGATGCGAACGCAAAAGGAAAATCTGCAACACCTTCATCAGTATTTGCAGCAGCCGGCTTACTAACACCAACGCCAACAGCAATATCAATACCAGCCACAGAAACTCTACAGCAGCAGCAACCACAACAACAGTCACAATCACAGCTACATCTACAACTGCACACCCCGTCGAAGAAGGTTAAGGCTGCAGTCAAAAGCAACGGTCATAGTCACATGTAAATCATATGCATTTTTATTCACATTTAATTAACATACTCATATCTGTATGTATGAATATGCGTGTGTGTGTATGTGTACGTGTTTGGCTGTCCATATCATTGTATTATTCGTATTGGATTTTTATTTTCACCACACATACACAAGTTCACACTCACATATCCATGCACTTGTTTGCTTATGTGCATATGTATGTGTGCTTACACACAAGCTCTAATTGTTTTGTTATTACTCCCAGTATCTGTTTCTGTCTTTAATTAACGTTCTTTTCAATATCGTTTATCGAGTTGCTGAATCAACCATTTATTAGCCGCTGTCGGGTTGGCATCACAGAGAGAAAAAAAACACGACGCCAGTCAATGCTGCTTTAGCTGCTACTTCTGTTGTTGTTGGTTTCGTTTCAATATGGCTGCGATCAAGCCACGTCTGCCGCTATGCATGCTCCCTAACAATGTGCCATCTTCTTTTCGCTCTAATTATGTACATATGTATGTATGTACATACATGTGTAGGCAAGGAATTTTCTCTTACTGCCTCTTTCTCTCTCACTCGCTCTGCCTCTACCTGTGTCTGTCGTGTCCTTGGAACCTACCAACCTGTTGGTCGCAGCACGTGAAGGGAATCCTTTGCCATATTTTTTTTAACGCATTGTATCAAGTCTCATCGATGCTTACACACCATATACATATGTATGTATGTATATATTACTTACATACATATATTACAGGCATACATACATATGTATATATATGTATGTATGTATGTATGTATGTAAGTATGTTCATGCGTAGTTCAACTATAAATAACTAGGAGAATTGCTATAGCAGCAGCAGCAGAAGCAGCAACGGCGCAGCAGCAATTGCCTGAAAATAGCGAATAAGTCTAAGGAATAAATACTGTGAAATATTTGCGGCACCCACAATGAGTGCAATGTACGGTACTTATACAAGACGTAATTACTGCACACATATATACATATGTATGTGTATATGTATAATGCAGTTGACTGTCTGGAAAGTACATACATATGTATGTATTTATGTATGTATGTATATGCGAACATTTTGTGCAAGGGTTATTTGAGGCTCGTCTGAGAATACGTTTTTTTGTCCATTCAATTTGCATACTTCCAGACTGGAAATGGTTGGTTAATTTGGGGTGACAAGGGTAGGCTGTATTATATCGACATATATTGAAACTTATTTACCTGGGCTGGTTGAACTGGCTCACCTTTTAGGAATCGAAATAATGCCCATATAACAGGAATAAATGTTATCTTTTGAATTGGATGTTAAATATTCCGATTGTTCATATAGCCTTATCTGACACACTTACATACATACATATATCACATATATATATGCAATCACGATGTTTTTTTTGTTACTTCCATCATTGTTGTTTCTTTTGATTATTAACTTTATTATCATTTACATAAACTGTCAGTTTTATTGAGACGCATATCGGTTTATATGTACATATATCTTTTATGTATTCGTAAATATACATATGCATATGTATGTACATATACATATAGACTATTGTAAACATGCATGCGCGTATTTTTGTCGATTCTGTTCGGGGCTCGCAAGATTTCTATTACTTTGGTATCGGGAATGCCTGCAATGTGTGTCTGAAATGAATTTCTGTGATGTCTGCACGTCTCTCTATTATTGCGAACTGTCTAGACTCTAAAAATTGGATAATAAATAAATAAACAAGACAAGGCAAACATGCTAACGAAAACTGATAATACATTTGATTTCCGTTTATCATCGAGTATATCAAGAACTGTGAACAAAATATTTACATTATGCAAATTATTTAAATATCAAGCCATTTTATACCCTAACGACATGTTTAACATACATATACATATGACGCAAAGGGAGTGCGGAACAAAGATAGGCAGATAGAGCTATTTAGTCATTGCTTATCATAGATTAACATATCTAAATTTTGCGCATTGTTTTTAATACTCTTAGCCGCCCAACTAAACATTTGTCATATAATGTGTAATGCATAATGAATCTAATACTATAGAATATATTCTTTATTAATCAAGAATATATTCTATGAGTCAAAGCAAGTTAGTACATGTAGCTGAATGAATGCAGCATAAGTTCCTGGGGGCATTTCTCATCTACATTATAGAAGTGGAAATCTTATCAACGTACATAAATGTAATTATTTTAAAATGAATGCATTTATAATCTTTTAGTTTCTTAACATATTAAAAAAAAAAAGGCTTAACTTAAATAAAGTTTCAGAGGTCAGTTAACACATGGGTCTTATCTCAGCGAAAATAATGTTTAGATTCTATAAAAAATACATCAAATGCTCATTAGTACTTTCGGGTTCATATTTTTATTATATTTTATTAGTTGATAAACGTGTTTGGACAATTATTGTTAAAAATCGTGAGTCGTGTTTGTCGCGTGCCAATTGAATCTAATCTAAACAATGTTTTCATTGGCACTTGAAACGTGTTGCAGATGTGTGTGATGGTTAATCATTATTCCATTCATTCGATTAAAAATGCATATTACTAAAATTTGATATACTTTTACAGCGATGATCGCTCAGATGCTACCGAGCCAATCTTTATTGATGCCACTTCAATGGGCAGCGAACTCAACTGCTGCCCAGCCTCGCCAACAACTGTGCCAGCAAAGTCGGCCTTTGAGTCGCCGATGCGACGTTCGGGACGTCGGCAGCGAACCACGTCGATTGGCAATCAGACAACCACTGCCAATCCATGCGAGGGCATAATACGGTCGAATAATCGCACCATTTATACGGCCGGACGTCCACCATGGTACAATTGTGCCGGCCAACAGGTCGAACCCTTTGTCATAGGTGAGTAAGTCCTAATCGTTAGCTATAAACGATATATTATTAATTTGTTTTTGTATATATTTCCAGGCATTTGCGGAGGCAGTGCATCCGGCAAAACGACCGTGGCAGAAAAAATCATAGAAAGCCTCGATGTGCCTTGGGTGACCTTATTGTCCATGGATTGCTTCTACAAGGTATATAAAATGGATGAATGTGGCAGAAGAAAGTGAAGATCATGTTAAAGCTCCCTTACCTCATCTGTAGATCCTAAATGAGAAGCAACATGAGCTGGCGCTCATTAATGAATATAACTTTGATCATCCAGATGCATTTGACATTGATCTGCTTATCGATGTTCTCACCAAACTGAAGGAGGGCAGAAAGGTGGAAGTTCCAGTTTACAATTTTGTAACGCATGGCCGAGAGAGTCAGACGGTAATTTGATTACAGCTTTTAATATTAACTGGTATAACAATACTACTACGAATTTGCCTATGTAAACAATACGTAAGAAGCTTAATTAGTACTACTTTAAATATAATTGGATTAAGTAACATATATTAATTCTAAATATTCCATTTTGAACTATTTAACAAATTAATATGAATTATAGAAATCTGTGAAACAGAACTTGAGAGCTTTCAACGTCAATCAATTGGATTTTTCACTTCGAAGAGTAAAGCAAATTCCATTGATAGGATAACTAAGAAATACGTAATATAGAACAGCTACAAAATAATATTAAATATCATTCTATGATATAAAATCTATAGCACAAGTACGGATATCAATTATAACTATCGCTCAGATTACAAGAGTACTTAACTTTTATGTTATATACATATACCAGCAATCGAAGTGCAATATCTCAATATTATTAGAAATTTTGGGGAAATATAAAAGATAAATTGGTCAGACATTATTATGTATTATCAATATTGAATAATAATAATTTGTTATACTTTTAGAAAACCATGTATGGCGCCAATGTCATAATATTCGAGGGTATACTTACCTTTCATAGTCCCGAAGTGCTGAAACTGCTCGACATGAAGATCTTTGTAGACACAGACCCGGACATCCGTCTGGCAAGAAGACTTAAGCGGTAAGCGAAACGATTTGTCATTGCAATCTGATCAGATAATAATTCGATAAACACTTTCAGTGATATCTCGCAGCGTGGACGAGATTTGAAGGGCGTGCTAAAACAATATCTGAATATGGTGAAGCCTTCGTATGCAAATTACATAGCGCCCACAATGGCCCATGCGGACATTATTGTGCCACGTGGGGGCGAGAACACAGTGGCAATAGCTCTCATAGTGCAACATGTACACACGCAGCTCCAACTGGTAAGAGAAGCGCCTCACCGAGATTGACCAACTAATTGAAATGCATCGAATTTGTCTTGCAGCGCGGCTTCAAGCTACGTGAGACATTGGCCAATTCGTATAAGGACCAGCCAATGCCAGATTCATTGCATTTATTGCATCCAACGCCACAAATAAAAGGTCTGCACACATTCATACGGTGCAAGAATACGTCGCGGGATGAGTTCATTTTCTATTCGAAGCGGCTCATACGGCTGGTCATTGAATATGCATTAAGTTTGTTTCCATTTAAGTCAACCTGTGTGGAGACACCGCAAGGTGTGCTATACGAGGGCAAACGCATGGAGTCCCGTAAGATATGCGGTGTATCCATACTGAGAGCTGGTGAGACAATGGAGCAGGCCGTTTGTGATGTATGCAAGGACATACGCATTGGCAAGATTCTTATTCAGACAAATCTGAAAACGGGCGAGCCGGAGCTCTACTATCTGCGTCTGCCCAAAGATATAAAAGACTTTAAAGTGATACTGATGGATGCTACCGTGGCGACTGGCGCTGCCGCCATGATGGCCATCAGAGTGCTACTCGATCATGATGTTCCCGAGGAAAATATTATTCTTGCCTCACTGCTGATGGCCGAAATTGGTGTGCATTCGATCGCCTATGCCTTCCCCAAGGTAATTTTCCTACACTAATAAATATATATTTTTTTACTATACTAATAATTCATTGTTGAGCAGGTGAAAATAGTTACTTCCGCTTTGGACCCCGAGATCAATAGCAAGTTCTATGTTATACCTGGCATTGGCAACTTTGGCGATCGCTACTTTGGCACCGAGCCCTCGGACGAGTACTAACGGCCAACAAAAGTTTCTTAAGTAATATACACAATTAGGTTTAAGCAAATCGTTACTTAAATTATCAATTCATGAATCCTTGTCTTGTTATTTTATTTCATTGAACCAACAAACGGTAAAGCAATTGTAACGCATATGCAATGGCACCTATGATCAAAGCGACGCCTATATAGTGCTGGCCTCGACTGCTTTGGCTGCTACTGGTCGCAACTTGCGCTGGTTTGCTACTGTCGCAACGTGTCCAGTCGCTCTCCTCGTCCAGTATCTCGGCCATCATGCTGAACTTGCTTGTGCCTATGATTCGCACACGCACTCGAGTGCCCAGCAGGTTGTCCCGCATCGGGAGCAGCACTTGCTCGTAGCTCTTGTTGTGGCCCACGTAGTGAAGCTTATCATGTGATATTTCCGTTACCAGCACTGTGTACACATGGCCCTCGCGACCCGCATACGGCTGGTAGCTATAGAACAGATCGGTTAGCCGCTTAGTACGCTTTTTTACCAGATTAGCTGGTATGCGCTCCATTTTGGCTGCTGGCGTGCCCGGTCGGGGAAAGAACTGATTAATAAATAGACTGGGAAATTGATATTTTTTGCACAACGACATTGTCTCCTCAAAGTCCTCCTCTGTCTCTGTGGGAAAGCCACATATAATGTCAGTGGCAATCGTTAGACCTGGCACTCGAGACCGTAGGAAATCCACCACATGCTCAAAGTCTTTGCGGCAATACTCGCGCTTCATCTCACCTAGCACCGAATCACTGCCGCTCTATAAAGGAGAAGTTTTAATAAAGATTTTGTATGGTTTATGTTGAAATACGCTTACTTGCACTGGAACGTGAAGAAAGGCGTAAACGCGTGGATGCTGTAACACCTTTGCCACCTCCTCGAGGTGTTCCAGAATGTAGGGCGGATTCGTCATACCAACGCGTAGCATACAGTGCTCAGGTATAACCTCGACAAGCTGCCATAGCAGCTCCGGTAACGAGCTGCCGATATCACGGCCGTAGGCACCAGTGTCCTCAGAAGTTAGCCAGATTTCACAACAGCCCTCGTCAAAGGATTGGCGCGCACGTTCAACTATTTCAGCCGGCGGATAGCTAGCCAAATCTCCACGTGCGTGCTTTGTTTTGCAATAGGTACACTGATTGAGGCATCCACTATTGATGGATATGATTTCGATTAGCGGGTTCTTTCGCACCTTTGGCAACGACAACGGCGCGCCGGCCACTCGAAGACCGTGAACCTTCTTGTTCTGTAGAAGGCGCACACTGTGTCCCTTAAGTGTTTCTTCGACCACCTCGACAACCCGGTCGATTTGCTGAACGCCAATTACGGATAGTCCGCGTAAATAATCTGACTTTGGGGCGCCTTGTGGTACGCAACCAGCAACAACGACATGCTTGCCATTGCGTACACCCGACTCGATTTCATTGCGAAAAGTGTCCTCGGAGGGATTCTTGACGGTGCAGCTGTTCAGCAACCATAGATCTGCTTCGTCTTTGCTGCTCAAATTATAGCCATACGCCGCCAGCTGACCGGCCATATACTCCGAATCCGAGTTGTTGTGTGCACAGCCCCAGGTCTTCACATACACCTTTTGGGTGCCGGGAATAACACTTTCGTAAATAGTTTTCTCTGGCTGTGGCGTCGCTTCGGCTTCGCCATCGCACAATGTGGGTTTAATTTGTGCTCGTTTCTTGGCACGCACGGTTACACTCTTTTTGTTTTCATAGCGTTCACGGGGTTTTATATCTTCGGCCGATATCAAATCCTCTATATCATCTATATCGTTACCAGGCAAATCCACTTCGAATCCCATCGTTGATTATATTTTTAATACCGGTACAGGCGCACATGTGCTTACATGAACACAGCTGTTTTCATTTGTCAATGAAGTGTGACCGAAAGATGTCATAAAACAGTGTTGAAAAACAAGATTCTCTCGTGTAAGCTGTCAGGAAAGGCTTGAGAGATTGAGTTGCGACGAGTTGAGCTGCACCCTACAATTCAAATAATTACCGTAGCCATAAAATATTGCCATGCGTAATTTATTAGCAAAAAATGATTTATTAAAAGTATTATCTTAACAATATTATCGCATTTTTATTACAATTATATTTATTTTAGTACTGATACAATTTACATATTCACATGAAGCCGTCGCCTTCGATAGCTTAACTCCCACACCTTGTTAATTAGTATGCCCTACATTTTCAGCTGCGCTACACTTTTGACATCTTATCAGCAACATCGCTATCAGCGCGGAGACAGCGACTAGTTCCTCAGCACATTTTTAATCCGGTCTACAGCATTTTAATCCGTCTATCACAATGATACACATCAAATGTAAAGACACCAATCTAGATCCGATTCCAGTCAAGGTGAGGTCATTTATTTATCTGTATACATACATTAATACATTGAGCTGACAACTTATACATACATACATATATACATACCCATGTGTTTTATTAATTACAATTTTCACTTACAGATTGGTATCATTGGTGGCTCTGGTCTGGATGATCCAGACATTTTAGAACAACGCAAAGAGAAGATAGTGGAGACACCATACGGTGATCCATCTGATGCTCTGATCGAAGGCGAAATCGGAGGGGTACAGTGCGTCCTTCTGGCTCGCCATGGACGCAAGCATGATATTATGCCATCCAATGTTAACTATCGTGCCAACATCTGGGCTTTACGTCAGGTGGGCTGTACACATCTGATTGTGTCGACTGCTTGTGGATCCCTAAGAGAGTCCATTCAGCCAGGTAATTTGGTGGTGCCACATGACTTCATTGATCGCACCACCAAGCGGGCGCAGACTTTTTATGATGGCCAGCATGAGGGCATGGCTGGCGTCTGTCATTTGCCCATGTATCCAGCCTTCTGTGAGCGCACGCGTAAGGTTCTACTAGATGCGGCCAAGGAACTGGGATATGCTGCACATGATAAGGCTACTATAGTCACAATAGAGGGTCCTCGCTTCTCCTCCCGCTCAGAGAGCAACATGTTCCGACAGTGGGGCGGAGATCTGATCAATATGACAACTTGCCCGGAAGTTGTGCTGGCCAAGGAGGCAGGCCTGTTATATGGCTCAGTGGCCATTGCGACCGACTATGATTGCTGGCGCATGGGCTGCGAAGGCGTTAACGTGCAGGATGTGCTCAAGACATTTGCCGAAAATGTGGCCAAGGTGAAGAAGATTCTAGTGAATGCTGTTGGCCGTATTGCTAAGGAAGACTGGTCCGAGGATATTTTAAATGCCAAGGTATGTACATACAGTTGCACAATTTCATGGTCTGTTCTATTCAACTCAATTCCATTTATAGCAATGCGTCTGCAACAACACTATGTCCGGTGCCATGTGACGCTTTTTGCTGTTATGCACCCAAATAACCAAAGATACCATTCGGCGCCGAAAGCCACTTGTCCAGCCTATTTTCTCAAAGTATTCAAGGAAACACGAGCCAAGAGTTCTCTCAATATCCATTGCTTATGAATTGGAGCCTGGCAAGCGACGAAGAGAATTCACCATAAAACCAGAGAATTATAACAGAACTCCGTCACCGAACGCTCAATCCTAAACTTGCAACATTTCCGCACAACGAATATATTTAGTGACTAATATTAATCTGTGACAAGTGATGATTTTTAGTATATCTTGAATGCGTTGTCTGAACACTAATAAACGAACGGTATCTTATCGAACTAGTAAACTGCGTAACCAAATACAGTAGAATCTCAATAAATTGCCAAGCATCATATATTTTAAACATATCTCTATAAAGTGGCATGCCATTTATTCGAGGTAAGGGACAAACCACAATTCGTGAAATAAAATTATAAAGAAATACATTTATAGACTTGTTGATGGGACCTAAATAGGCCAGTAGACAAAGCAGCCCATGGTTGTGGGTGCGCACTAGTTTACATACAAAATGATCATCTGCTTACTAACTTTACAATTATAATTGGAATTCGTTTGCTTGGCACCGAGCTGGATTTATGGGCATTTGCGCTCCACTTGGCTCTTGCCAGCCTCCTCGTACTCCTGCGATGATATCCACATCTGCTGGAAGGTGCCAATGCTGGCCAGTATGGAGCCACCAATCCAGGCGCCAAACCTTCGCTCCACACTGCCGTTCGCTGAAATCATTTTAAGACGCGTATTTGACGGCGCACGCAATTGCAAATCTCTATTTAGCCGTTCGGGAAAACCTTGCAGCAGTGTATTGCCACCTGCATAGAAAAACATTAAATTTAATTAGTATTTCGATTGGGCTGTTTGGCAGCACCTATCATTTACCTGTCACCACAACGGAGCCGAACAGCGATAGGCGCACGTCTGCATCACACATGCCAACACTGGTGGAAGCGAGTTGTCCTGCTCCTAGCATTGCATTGTCGAAGAGGCTTTCGGCAATTTTGAAGCGCTCAGAGCCAAAGTCCTGGTGGTAGCCGTTGGGGAATTCGTAATGAACCATGGGTATCTGGGAGGCGACGCGCTCGTCAAACGGATTCTCCAGCACCTGCAGCACATTCATTTGAAAATCCTGCATCATTAGCTGCACCATATAATTCTGCCACGATTGTGTGAGATTCTCGGGCAATTTTCGCAGTGTAAAGCGTGCATTGTCGCGCTCTTTGACAACATCCTTCGATGCTATTTTATACACAGGTGACAAGTCAATGTTTAGTTTCTCCAAATGCTGCCTGCACTGCCTGGAAAGAAAGTCGCCACCAAGCGGCGATTTGACCACTGCCTGCGAAAGCACATAGCCCTCGTGCACGGGCACAGCCGACGTATGTGTAGCGCCGCTGTCGACTACAAGAGCTGTGGCACGTCCGCTGGAGAATGCGGCCAGCACTGCATTCTTCACCAGAAAGAAGGCTGGCACGTTGTATTTCTCAAACATGAGCTCGGTTAGCTTTTCGCGGTTATTTCGCACATTCCATGACGCCTCTGAGAAGAGCACCGGATGATACTCTGGCTCCGATTGTATGACATTTGCATACGCATAGTCGATGACCTTCTCAAACAGCTCCCAGTTGTCTATCATGCCATCCTTCATATATGTTTGCACCTCCATATGCGACCGAGGAACATTTACGTAGTTTGTGTCCACATAGAACTTTCGCGCGTCGGCGTCTATTGTGAACGATGGAAGGGGTACGAGATATGAGGGAAATGTAAATAATGTAAATATGAATGCAATATATTGATTGTACTCACTATTTGGCGTAGCGTTGTTGTCTGTTTTCGTCTCGGGATCTAGATTCGTGTCGGGAGCGCTTGTGCCAATGCCAACCACAGAAGGGATTTCAGCTTTGGGCGAATCCTCTTGAGCGTATCCAACGCGTAGCGAATGGTGCCCAGGATCGAAAACTAGTGCACCAATCTCATCGCCGCCGTACAACATTGTTCCGCCACTCATCTCGGCGTTTTGGTTGCGTTTTTTCGCTTATTTCACAATATAATTATTTGCAAAATGTGTGTATATTGTGTACACGGCTGCCTCAAATCACCGGCAGATGCTTAAAAAACAGTGTTGGGTAGCGTAACAATTAAAAAAAAAAAATACAACCACCTTATTGAGCGAGTAAATTATTTCTGTGATATTCAAAATTGGTAAGGCTTATAAAATAAATATCAAAATAATCTAATTCGGACAGTTATTAAAAACGAAGAATAAAATCAATAAATAATAATAATTGGGCAGAAAACATTGAGCACTTAATTACAGATGAACCACTTTCATAGACAAAAACTAGTTCATTTAAACAAGTATTGAATAAGTAAACAAGCGTAAACATCGATACATTAGAATAATTTAGAAACCAACCCAACCAACTAAAATTCAAAATTTGTATAAGTACTTTGCTTTGATGTATACATAAAAATATATCAAATGTGTTTTCTGCATTTGTAAATTATATTCTAAATAGTCCACTTTTGATATATCGGTGCAACTGTTGATTTCAATTAACGTAATGATTTGTCATCACTATAGACACCGCAATGATTTATTAGAGATGGTTTTTGTCCTACCAACACGAAAATATTATTATCGAGAGCTTTGAAACTATTTGTTTTGCTCGCTTATTTTAATTCACTGACCATGTGTTCTTTTGTTAGTGATTAATTATATTTTATTGTAAAAAATGTGAAAGTTAAATGAAAAGTCTAAGCGATCGACACAAAAGCAAAGGGAGATCATTGAACAGAATGGATAATGATGTCTCCGGGGATACACCAGAAATGGAAATCAACGTTGAAAATATAAATGCCAAATCTGAAATAATTTTGAATGATCTTCGGCTCTTGGAGCTGATCTACATGCATCCATATCTATTTAGCAATGCTGTGGATCCCCACAATGATAATGATTACGAAGAGTGGGGCTGGGAGCAAATAACAAATGCCTTCAACTGTAGCTATGAAGGTTTGGATCTCAGCACTCCATTTAGCATTGATGAGCTCCGATGGCGCTGGGACTTCTTGCGGCCCATGTGTCAGTCGCTCAAGGACAAGCGTAGCCGATTGCCAACCAAACTTCGTAGTATTATGAGTAAAATCAACCAATTGATGAGCGCTGCACCCCAAATGAACTTCCAGGAAAATATTCCAACCCAATCGTTTATTCTTGAGCAGATACCGTTCATCGAACGACTGCCGCTCTCTCTACAAAGGCCGTTGGAGGTAGAGATTCTAAATGCCATATTTATGGAAGAGAGATCAGAGGGAATTTCCCTAGACGAGAATGAAACGAAACTGGCACAGAGCGAGTACGAAGAGTTCCTTAAGACAATACGCGTCAAGGAGCTGCCCAACAATGAAACTTCCCGCAGGAACTCCATCCGCAACAGCACGGAAAGTAACCCAGACAGCTCCAAGGCTATGGCAAGCATAGCTAATAAACATGAGAGTGCAGTGGTCATTACTAAAGTACAACACCCAAATTCTAAACCAGAACCTCCAAAGCCTCAAACAGAGCATCCCAAGCATAAACCAATTCAACTGTTCAGACAACCGTTGATCATCAAAGAGGAACCACCAGATCTGTTCAAAGTAGAGCAGCAAGAGTTAAGGAAACAACTAAGAGACACATCAGCTCAGATTCAGCTGCACTACGTTCCACTGAACAAAGTCATGCTCTATGTGAAAAACGTGCGGGTGAGAGTGAAACGCTTAGATCTGGTGGACTATGTGCGACAGTCGCAGAGGCGACAGTTACGCAAATGCAGAGTTAAAATGTATAAGTAAAAGTTCTCAAAGACAAGGCAACCATTCGATCAGCCACATAAGACGCTCGCTCAGTCAGATGAGCTCACAATGAAGAATGCTTCAAGTAGTTGTAGTGAAGCCTCGATCTGTATATACATGTGTACATACATATATGTAGGTAGAATAATATAACGCTTAGTTTTATATATCAAATGCACAATAAGTTTATTTAAAAAATACATTACTATAAATTACAACTTAGAGCTATTATTTTAACTGATTTCAATTTCTTTATAAACAAACATTTTTTCGAAACAAATGGGACATGCATGCAGCTGAGCTGGCTTGCTACAGCGCCTGGAGAGGATTGCACGATATATATATATTTAGATGTATATATTTGATGTCCATAGGATGTGGAGTGCAGGCGCTGAGCTGCGCTCAAGGAACTTGGCTACTTGTACATTGCATATTTCCTCTACTATTTTTTTATGTGTGTGTGTGTGTGTGTGTGTGTGTGTTTTCGCATTTGTTTTCCATTTTATTATCAACAAGTCACAAAGAACGTAATTCAACATGTCTACAAAATACAGTCCATGGTAAAAAAGCGCAGCACTAACAAGGCTAACTAACAAACAACAAAGCCACAATCCCAGCAGTCTGTCCATCGAATCGCTCGATCCTTGTGGATATGATCATGTGGCATACTTTCAACGGGTGCACATTTCAGTTCCAGTTCCAGTTCAATTTCTAGTTCCAGATTTAGTCCAGTTATCAGCTAAACAAACTAAAATAGCTGATCCGCCAAATTGCCAATAAACGTGGCCAGATTCATTGAGGAGCCTTCCTTGAATTTCAGTCCAATCGTTTTGCCATAGGCTTGTATGAAAATCGCCCGTACAGCGTTTAACCGTTGCTTGCGTCTGTAAGAAAACATGAATTATTTATTTAAATAAGTATGAGGATGTACAATTAAGTCTTTAAGCCTAGCCATATTATTGAAACTCAAACTGAACTGATCGATGAGTTTACCATCTCTATTTTATAATGGATTGAATTGAACTTACAAATTAATGCTCTGCTTGGAGGCTGCTACGCTGGCACTGGCCGCATCCTTGGAGGAACCATTAACGAAACCGTGCGGGTTATTGCTACTGTTGCTGTTGCTGTTGCTGTTGCTGTTGCTATTGTTACTCATGTTGCTCATGTTGCTGTTGCTGTTGCTACTGCCGCTGGCACTGGGATAGGCGCTGGGCGTGGCTGTGCTGCAATGATATCCGTTGCCGCCATTGAACATTGGAATGTTGTCCGTCTGCTGATGCTGTGGTTGATGCTGCTGCGAGACAAAGCGCATCATGTAACTACCATTCATCATGGAGTCAATGGATCCGGTGTCTGTGACCACCTGCCAGCTGCCGTTCGATGACGTCGACTCCTGGCGCTGGCGCGCATTCGAGCCAGGCACTGAAATTGGGCTAGTGCGCGAACTATGTGAACAAGAGAGGACATTGTGTTAAATAGTGTTTTCAAGCTAATAATCCGAATATTTATGTATTACCGCTTCGGATTCGGGGATCGACTGGTGAGCGGATTAACGAGCGTTGGTGGCGCAGTCGCTGCTACAGCTGCTGCTGCGGCTGTTGTTGTTGTGGCATAGAAGTTATCTGTTATGGACATATCACAGTTGGAACAGTTTGAGTAGCTATCGTTGCTGTCTTGATCGAAGGCCAAAATGTAATCTCTGCGAGAATTCGAAAGAAAACAAATTTTGTATATAAATAATAAGTATATCTTAAGCTATATTTACTTACTCCTTGAGTGGCTCGTCGTCGCAGCAGTCGGATTTGATGACAATGACACTGCTGCCGCTGCTGCTGGACGTCTTCGTGCGCTTGCGGTGCTCTACAATGCTGAACTCCTCGTCGGTGATGAATTTGAGGACGTGAAAGCAAAAGAACATGATGTCCTCGCCTCGCTTGAGGCGATCTGGCAGCTGATGGCCAAATAAATACCAGTCGTAGGCGAGTGTAAAGTACGCCATTTGCAAGGCGTTCAGCGACTGATGGATGAGGCCGTCGGCCCAGAGCGACAGACGCACCAGGGAGACGAAGAGGGGCGTGCGATCCCAGCCACTTATGCAGTGTATGAGCAGCCCTGAGTTATCCTCCTGAATATACTTAAGCGTGGCACGCAGATAGTTTTGCGTAATGGAGACCAGATCCCAGTCCCTGTACTCTGGCCAAATAATGTCAATGTCGGCGGCGGGTCCCGTATTGGGTATATTGATGTTGGCATCGTTAAATGACTGCTTCCAGTTGTAGTGTAAATTCTTGGCCATGTAATTGTTGTCCCGGAACTTCTTGAAAAACTCACAGCCCGGGTACGGCAGCGATAGCAGGTTAAAGCCTTTATAGTGCTTGTTCGGATCCGCCTTCTCTGACGAAGAGACGCTGTAAAAGTCAATGAATCGATTACTAATTCAAATTTGATATATAATCGCAGTCGATTCATGCACTAGCTCGATTACACGATTCATGACATTGGGTCGTTCGATAACTCAAAAGAACTTTTCATTAATGAATAGTTGAGAAACTGAATAGAGCACGAACTACAGAATATCGAATATGAACCGATAATGTTTATCGTTCACTGAATAAGTTCCGCAACAGTTTTCATAAAATGATGAACAGTTCTCTCGAGCTTTTGTTCTGAATTAAAGTCTTTTATTTGCATTTGTTGACTTACGCCATGAAGTATTTGATTTTGCGATTCTCTACCATGAGGTCTACTATGGTGGACACGTTCAGTGTGTTCAGCAGTTGGATGTCGCTCTTGATGACTTCATCGTAGCTGAACTGCGACTGTGCCTGATCGTTGATGTGATTGATTAGTGACTCGTCCGTGGTGTCCGCCTCATTCTCCTCGCCATTGGGCGCGGCGTAGTTGCCGCTGAGGCAGTCGTAGGCGTAATCCACAACCTTACGGCCGTACGTTTCCGGCATCACGGACAGTGTGGCCGAACGGCAGATATATTTGCCTCGATACATTATAACGGGCACTGCGAAACGCTGCCTGCAGCGCGCATACTTCGCCATGGTCACCAGCTCCCGTATGCGCTGTATATCATACTGATCCTCGTAGATTGTGTTCTGCTGCGACTGCTGGTGCGGCGCCTGCGGCATCGACTGCTGTTGGGGATGCGACTGTGGCGTCTGCAACGGATTGGCAAAGGTCACAAAGGCCTGAATGCCAACACCAGCATTGGAGCCGTTGCTACAATTGCTGCTAGCGCTTCCGTTCAGCGGCGTTGCCGTTGCCGTTGTTCCCGTTGACCCTCCGCCGCCAACTAGCCCATTGTTCGGTATCAGTGTCTTGGCCATATGGCCATGCTCGTATTCCGGTATGAGTATGCGTCCAGGATAGCGCGGACTCAACAGCCCGTTCGAATTGTCCAGCTCAATGAGGCTATAGTCGAGCTTGAACAGAAATTCGCATTTTTTGGAGATGGCATACTCCTGTAAAGAATGAAGATATAGATGAGTTATTATTATATACAAGATATATAGGATTATAGTTTTCCAACTGAACATCTGAACATCTTCAGCAATTACATTGGTTTATAAGTTTACATATCATAGTTTAAAAGAGTATCTGTGGATATGAGACACCCCGTACTGTACTTGTATTCTGAATCCTATTTCAAGTTTTATAATAATATCGCTGAACCATTACGCTTCAGCACTGATTATATTTAATATGAACAGAAATATATATAGAATTGAAGAATTTCATTGAGCAGCTGGCAGATGGCACGCGTTTTACATATAACATGCGATAATCATCATGATGAGAGTCTGAAACTCGCAGTTAAACGCTTTGGGATCCCACTGGGGGTTATCGTCCATATAAAATAAAGTCGACTAACCGTGAAATTCTCAATTCCTGTTTTGTTTCTTTTTTTAATTTCAACAAACAACAAATTACTAAGCATAAAATGTTGTACAGATAAAAAGCAAAATACAATGGATTTTTTTAAGGTCAATTGACTTGGCTCATCAATATTGGAGGCAGCAGACACCCCTTCCCCGATAAGATCCCAACATGCGTGGAGCGGTGAAGTAGATTATAATGCATTTGGATATTAACATCTGGCTCGGAATATTCTCCATTTCAATTGATTAGGTCGATTTCATTTATATTTGACTATTTCGTACTTTGGCTACTTTATTCCCTATAATATCAGGTTTACAGCACATCTGGTTATATGTATGTACATACATATGTATATTGATATACATATTTCCGACACCTTGAATATATCTATATAGCAACAATGTAAAGGTAATTGATTCGCATTAAAATATCTGATATACTAATCTATTCAATGTAATGCTAAAAATAAATGCATCACGCCCATTAATACTAATCTATGGAATATCAAGAGTTAATTTCGCTACTAAAAATAAATTGTAAGCAAGCCTAAAGGGTTTATGCATTTGCCATAATTTGTTGGTCGGTGAATAGTTAGTAAAGGGGAGATAATAAACGCGAAGCCTCTAAGCCTTGACAGAAATTGATGCGAAGCTGTTCAAACCGGTTTTTACCACAACAAAACAAAACCAAGAGAAACGTGAATAAAAGCAAGACCTAAGCAAAACTGCGCAACAAAAAACTGCGAATGCGGCACAACTAGCGAACCCACATACCAAAACAAACGTGGCAAAAAGATAGACACCCACTTAACACACTGTTAAAATACGTGTGTATATTACACACACACATACATTCACATGCCACAACTATGCAGAGCAAAACAAACGAGCAAAACAACTAAGCCACAATTGACAGAAGCCGCTGAGAAACTGTCAATGTGTGCGTGCGAGGTGAGAGTTTACAAGCTAACAGTAGGCGGGAGAGTAAATTCCGGTTGAAGTGAGAAAGTTGACGATGAGAAACTGTTAAGTGTAGGCAGCGGTTTAGAGAACAACAAAAGACAGCATGAATGTAAAATCAGAGAAGCTGTATAAGTGTTAATAAGTAATTAACAATAATTGCACAATATACAAATTTGCATTCGGTTAATTTCTCACTTATGTATGTGTGTAAGATGTTTAGTTTTACATTTACATCTCTGTAAAAATAATGTAGTATAGATTTCAATTCTAAGACAAATGTCACAATAGTTTATTGTTTACATCAGCGAAAAGAATGTTTCTTTATGGGACGCACACTCAGGTTCAGGCAGATAAGAGGCTGTAATCGCTGTTCTTCGATGCATGTAAAAGTTTGCACAAGTGTTTGGCCTGTGCGAGAGAGTCAGAGAGTCAAGAGTCAGTCAGTGAGCGTTTATTCGACTGTATGCGTGTAGTTGAGAAACGAAAAGTCTTGGCATTTTTATCGGCAACTTGTTCGCTGTCTGGCTGTTGTTTGTATTACAAGCGAAAACACACGCACACACAATACAGCCACAGCTGCAGCCACAACGGCACAGCGAGGAGATTGACTTGTGTGTGTGTGTGCGTATATTGAACTGCTTGCTGGTTGGACGCTGTTATTGTTGTTGCACATTTATACAGCTCGCTGTTGTTGGCGTTGTTGTAGTGCACATGTATATTTAGCTTGTAGGCGAAGCGGGGAAACGGGGAAGCGAGGAATCGTGGCACAGCATGCAGTTGGCTGTGCTCTTGCCGCTGCGCGCCTGTTAATAAGGCGCTGTAAAACTTAAAAACAACAAACAGACGAGCGCGAAAGCAAAATAGTTTTGAGGACTTTGTTGTTGGCGTTGTCGTCGTCGTCGGTTAGCGATTACAGAAACCGACAGACGCCAATGCAATATAGTTTCGCAGCTATCGTAACAACAGTCGCTGTCGCTGTTGCTGCCGCTGCCTCTGCTACTGCTGCTGTCAACATCACAACTAAAGCAGCGATCAGCATCAGCTGCTGCCCTGACCCAAAAAAACAAATTTTAGACGAAGGCTGTCGCTGGCGCTGCTGCAACTAAGCAGTTTACATGGGGTCGGTCTCTTGCTGAATCTCGCTCTTCCTCGCGCCATCTCTCTCCCACGGTAGACGCTTGGCTCAAGCAATGCAGTTTTCTTACAAACCCGGATTTTGAAGACTTTGCCAGTGCTGGGCACGCAGAAACCGTCGCTGCAGCCGCGACACAGTTCCACAGTTAGTTTTTTCTTCTCAACTGCGCTTTCTGCAATCGAACGGCCAATCAAGAAGAGAAACCAACACCACCAGCGACAGCAACACCGACGCCAAGACAGTCCAAGACCAGGCCAGCAGCAGCAGCAGCAGCAACGGCAGCAGTAGCAGCTGCAACAACAACAATAATGACGACAACAAGAAAAGAAAAAGAGAAGAGAAATATACAAACCAGACACACAGCATGTAAGTACTGGCTTTTTGGCAAAGCTTATCATGCATATCATCACGCACACACACATACATACATACACAAACACACACACACGCACGCATGCACATGTATGTATGTATGTATGCTGTATGTTTTTTGAGCTCATGCATATTCATCAATCGCTGAACACGGAAAATTGCTTTTCTTGAATGAATTATTCAGCGACAGAGCGTCACTGGAAACAAGTTCACAATAGGCCGGGCCACTGACCACACCTGGTACATGCATTCTGTAAAGTTCCGTTTGCTCTTTGTTGCTGTTTCCATGTTTATACATAAATTGTTTTTGTTGTTTTCTTTGAGTTTTATAGCGTTCAAAGACCTCGGTCAAGTTTTCGATAAGCACAAAGTTATCGAAATGCAAGTTATCGTGGCATTATTAATTACCATATGAAATATGTAAATGTGCATTATTCATTCGTAAAACTTTCGGTTGATTGACAAGGTCATATTATACATATATGTATGCACATACATACATATGGAATTTATGGGCATTAATGGCATTTGCATATCTCGATTGTTAACAACTTTTAAAAGAGCTTTAGCCAAAACGATTTACAATAACAATAATAAATACTTGTTTTTTAACGGAAGCATATTTAACTTGGCAATAGTTGTTAGAAAGCGTGAGAGTGAGTGAGAGAGTGGGAGCAAAAGAGACATTGCAATCAGGAATACAATCGCATTAAAAGTAATCAGTATTTTAATATTAAATATATTTTTATAAAATTAATATATTTTCTATTTATATAAACATCGCCTCTTTCTCTCCTAATGATATTTTTGTCTGATTTCCATAATCTCTTTTTCGCTTAGCTTAGCGACAATATGCATACATTTGCATGTCCTTCTGTGACTGCTTCTCAGACTGTATAATATCGAATATTTAATATTAAAGTAAATCAATAGCGCTCTTCTATATGGCAAGTGTAAAAGTAGCAGCTGCAGAAGCTGAGCGGCAGCAGGTAGACCTCTAAAAACTGCAGAGTGTACTCTCGCCTCTAAGAGTTACTCTCTGAGTTCGATTTCGAGTGGTAGTGGGTGAATCGCTGCCTATTTAAAGGGCAAGCCTTCTGCGTCGCTTCTTCAGTTGCATTCCTGATCCCCTGGCTGTCGATTGCTCCTCTTCTTCAATTTGTGTGCGTGTGTGTGTGCATGTTTGTATGTATGTGTGTGTATGTGTGTATGCATGCATGCAATATTAAGTATATTAAAAACGATTGTAATAATTGTATGCATTTTTTTTTTTTTAAAGAAATCAAAGAGCTGTGTCTATTACTAGGACTTTTAGAAATGGGCTATAGAATATAGAATATAAAATAATCATCATAATGACCATAAAATAATCTTATTTTTACAAGAAAATCTTACATGATTATAATAATAATTTTTCTTTTTTAATATTTCATAAATAATTTATATTTAATAAAAAACTAAAAATCTAAAAATATGCAGCTAGAGCCGTTGCACTCGCGGCAACAATTAAATCTTGTCAGAGATGCGTTCGCCATTTCAATTATTATCGATTTTATCTGCTCGTCAGCAGGCATTCATAAAAAGCAGGCAGCATCAGTATCACCATCAGCATCAGCATCTCCTAATCCGGATGTGAACGTGCAGCTGGAGCCTGGATGAACAAATCATGCGCACCTATTTTCTGGCGTTCAACTGCGCCCGGGAGCGGGTCAGATATCATGATGGCCATTGGCCGTCCGTCTGATAGTTGTCGTTCGCTCTTGGAATGTGGCAGCAACGCATTGGAAACTTTTGACTAATCGAATCAAAATGAGCTGCAACTGCAATAGCAGCAGCAGCGACTCCCGTTGTTCACTCTCCCGGACATGCGCTCGACTTGCCGGATGCCCATTTGCGACCGCTTCGCTTAATTCTGCACACCTGTGCCAAGTGTCTGTGGCGCGTCCCACGCTAAAATACACCGAAGCAGCTGCCCGAAAAGGCAGCAGGCCAAGCGAGCCCAAGGCCAACTGATGTGCAGCGCTTCCACGGTTTAAGTTCACCGTGCAACAGGCAACCAGAAGCAGATAGGAGGAAACACAGGACCAAAATGCCATGCGCACAGTGGGATGAGTTATAGTAATTAATTGGTAAAATACAAATTTCCCTAGCTGCAGATTATAAATTATTATGAGATGAATGAAATGAAATGATCTATTTAATAAAATGTAACAATATATAATTCCAAAGATTTATTTTGTTATATTTTTATGCAGTGAAATATTGAAGGAAGTAAAATATATACACATCCAAACATTTTCAGATTGTTGAAATATATAATTATCACACGTCCTTGCTAGTTCCAAATTTGTAGTATTATTTTAGAGGTACTTCTAACATTAATTTTCACCCAAGCGTTGCATAAAATAAATTATTCATATAAACATAATCAAAAATTTACATTTGAATAATAATTCAAATGTAATTAACTTTAATTCATCAATTTTTTTGATGATCTTGTTTCTCATTTCGTGTATTATACAATAATATTTTAAGTGAGTCCAAACTTTAATCAAGTTCAGCCATCTGTTTACGATCTATGTCGAATCATTAAATTGAACTTTGTTTTGATCCACAGCTTAAGGTTTACACGTTCTTTTGAGCTTCACAATTCAGTTCATGATTCCGTTGAGTTAATGCTCCTTTTCCTAAACAACTGAATTATATGTAAAATAACTGAACTAAGTTATATTACACTAACTAAACTAATTGCTGTAATAAGTTTATTTATAATTTATATTTAAATTTATTTTTGTCTTGCTCCACTGTGCGCTGACGTTTGGCCATTTCGCTGGAATGCGCTGCAGCTGAGCGGCTTCTTTGATTTATGTGCGCCTGTCTACCGTATTCCAAAGCGCCCACACAGCGACAACGCATTTCAGTGGGCAGAGGAGTCGCATGAACAAGAACGAGAACGAGAAGCTTGAAGCTCGGCCGCTGCACCCACACAGGCGCTGCCAAACGGCATAGGCGCACAGAAGAGAGCAGAGAGCTGCAGTTGGACAGGCGATGGCGTGGGCGTCCTGCGCACTGGCGACCAGATGCACAGCTCGTTCGCTTAGCGAATCAACACTGTACTGCCGGCCGCATTCAACCCCCGATAAGTGCAACTGCTGCTGCTGCCACTGCTGCCGCTGCTGTCTCTGCCGTCGCGTGGGCGTTTTTGCAGCCTGGAAACGATTTGGATGCGAGCTGCCAGGCGAGATACACAAAACACACGGAAGGAAAACGAGAAAACGCAGCTGCAGCTGCTGCAGCAGTCGCAGTCGCAAATCCCAACAAATTTGATTACGTACACAATTTGAACAGATAATTCGTTAAAATTAACATCTACATAGAAATCCATCTAGTGCTGGTCTGCATGGATCTGCTGCAGGAGGATCATCTATATGTGGCCATCCTTAGCCTTCTGGCTTTGGAATTCTATTGCCTGCTGCGCTTCTTTGTCGTCGTCTACAACATTTTCGATTGCATTTTGGCCAACATTGGCATTTGGCTGAACAGCAACTAAACAGAACGACAACAACAACAGCAACAACAACAGGTGGGTTCTATTGAAAGTGAATTATATATACTCTATATATATATAAGTACATATATACACATACGACTGTACATTGTTGCATATTTATTTGTTTTGAACTATTTTTATCTGCCAGCCCCGTACACAATCTCATTTTGGCGCCCACACGATAACGGGCTGCACATACACACCCATACAAACATATACACTCACACACACACACACACACACACACACACACACACAATGTCAATGTCATTGGGCAAGGTTTGTTATAAATAAAATAAAAATAAAAAATGAAAAGCAAATGCAAACAAAGCTAAAAACAAATCATAAAAAACGAGCACTGAAAATTGTTGTTAATTTTAATGATAATTCATAAGCAAAGTAATGCGGAGCACTTAACATGTACAGTGTTGTTTCGATAAGACTCATCAGTCTAAAAATGTCGTGAACAAATTTGTTTATTAGTATTAAGTAATTAATCATTTTTATAGTTTTTGTAACAGTTTTAAAAACTATTGACATTTTTTTTTATAACATTAATTTAATAACTTATCGAGCAAGCACTGTACTCATATATATTGTATAGACTATATATACACATATATGTGTATATATGTATATTTTTTTTTTCATTTAGAGTTTTTATAAGTTGAGCCCATTAAAAAATATAAAACCGGGTGGATTGATCTTTTTTGTATGCAACAGGTTCAAGGAGACATGACTGATCACATATGTGTATTTTTATGATCATGATCACCAATTGAATCTTGTTTAGAAACTTATAATTTTAAATTTAAATAAACTTTAAAACAATCATAAATCTATGAATCGATTAAAATCTATATCAAACTCAATTTATTTATACTTTACTTGGTATATAGTTTCTCGTAATATTATTTTTTAGTATTTTACAGAGTATCCCTGTGTCGCTTCCTCTCAAGTATTTTATTCTCTTATTTGCTTGCTTTGAGATTGTTATTTGCAATCATTTTTATGTGCATTTGAAGTTCAACATTTAATCAGCTCAATCACCTTGACAACAGATTAAAACTGATTGCAAATTATTGCCTTTATTCTAATGCTAGGGAATCACTAGAGCCATACATGGCAACCATACCCAAATACATTTATGAAATCTATATAACTTCCATATCTTTATATTATCATTATATAAAATATTATATTTTGTTATAGAGCTTTATCATCAAACTAACGGTATATATGTAAATATATTGAAGATGGCTGGAAGTAGTCCACGAGCTGGTTGGCCACATCGCATGAAGAGCTTTCAGTCCAAGCAGGCGGACATCAATTGGCTGATCATGAAGTATCTAGTGGCTGAAGGCTATTTGGATGTGGCCCAGGGATTCGAAGCAGTGGCGCGCCTGGAATCTGAAACGACACAGCTGGACCCAGTGGAGCATCAGAAACGTATTAAGGACGCTGTGCGCACCTCTCAGGTTCAATATGCCATTGATATGGCCAAAAGGCTGTATCCGAAACTATTTGAGAGCGAGAACTACATGTACTTTCACATGCAGCAGCTGCATCTCATTGAGCTCATCCGCGAGAGCAACAACTACAACAGCAACGCTTCCATTAAAACGGAACTAGAACTAGAAGTAGAACGGACCGCAAAAGGTTCCGTCGAGGAGAAACGAGAACTGGACTCAGCTCTGCGCAGAGGCGGTCAGACTGCCTGCATGGAGCCCAAAATGATGTTCCTGGTGAAGCTAATACTCTGGGCGCAGCAGAAGCTCGACAAGGACGGCTGCGCCGTTAGATGTGAGGCATTCGATCTCGAGATGAATGACTTTGAGTTCGAGCTGAAGAGGGCTATGCAAAACAATTAGATCAGTCGATCCAACGATAAGGCGAACATCTGATGCCTACCGCTAATTATACAAATATTAAAAAAAATATATTTAGATATATTAATGAATGTATACATAAAAAAATAATTTTTTTTTTTTTTTTTTTTTTTTTTTTTTTGTTGTGCTTAAATATAATGTTCAAACATCTTGATGTGTAACCATTTCAATTGATTTTTCTTGATTTGTCTAGCTCGGTGATAGATAAAGTCAACTTAATTGAAGATGGAAATTCGTAGTCGGTCCCAAAATTTTAAAGAGTATATTGGTTTAGTGCTTGGTGTCCTTTTATCTGCCGTTAGAAATCAAAATATGTCCCTCTCTTTTGTACGTGCTCTCCATGAGCGGAGTCTATCTAATCTCATTTTTCTTACTATTTGCTTGAAAGTAATTAATAATATATATGTATGTATATAGGCATTTAGTCAGTAGTGGCTAAGAGCTACCCTAAACTTTGCGTTAAGTTGCTTTTCCAACCTTCCTAAAATTATAATCTTTAATTTGTATATTAATTATTATTTACTAATGTATTGATTTTGTTGACAAACAAATGTGTAAATCTAGTCCGATCCAATCGACCGGTATTCCCTGTCGGCCTTATAATAATTCCCTCGATAACAATTCTGTCCATATTTGTAATTCGATTCTACTCTTATTGCATATTCCTACATTTATTTATTATTTGTCTGCTATGTAATTCCCAGAAATGAAACTTTGATTCCTGTTCAGTCAGAGCTGACTTGATCTGGCGCCCATTTAAAGCTAAATCTAACGCGCAAATTGTTTGCTCACGTGCCAGTATTAAAGCTATAAATAATTTCTGCGAAAATAAAACATTAAGTAAAACACACAAAAACAAACAAAATAAAAGCAGTTAAGTAAACAACTTTAAACAAAGAGAACAGAGAAAAAAAAAACATAATACGCAGGGCTTCGCATTAAAATGCAGCTCGCGATGTACGAGGTGCACCTGTTTTTGTACTCTAACACGAGCGTGAAATGAGTATATTAGCTTTGTGCAATCAATGTACGCTTTGCTGTCCGTCCTGCTGCCCGTATAAATCTAAGCCATTTGGCCATTATTATAGATTGATGATATGGCATGGACATATGTATACCTTCGAGGAATGAATCTGGCAGTGTTTGGACCATAAATGGGCATTCTGCAGTCGGCAACGCTCAACTGCAATGTTCTTAATTTTTGTTTTCTATTTGATAAGAAACTCGGGTTATATATGTATATAAAAAAGAGTATTGATACGGGTCTAATCGATTTATAATGATTGCTGTTGTTTGATTGAACAGTGTATAAACAAAGAAAAACGAGAAAATAAATCGATTAAGTCCAGACTGAAATTGATTCTTCAAATTTGTTTTGTTGAAATTAAGATGCAACAAACTTCGTACATGGTACGGAAAATGGAGATTTATATATTATTATTATGTTATCTAGGAAGCTGAGACAAATTTTAAGTAGAGTTGGAAACAGATAGAAAATACGGTAGGTAAATCGTTGACCCTTTCTACAGATTTAACAAAAATTATTTACCTTTTGGGGCGTTATGAAAGTTTCGGATCTAGAACTACAAAATTTAAAATTTGATGGTTAAAATGCGAAAGAAAATAGTGGATGAGTATCATCAGTCTTTGATTGTTGATTATTCATTAATTTTTCAACTGAATTAAAAAACAAAAATTAAGCAATGTATGAATGAAATATTGAGTTTTGTTTAGACAGAACTGCATAGAAACAAAAAATACATATAAGACCCAAGATCGTTTTGCTTAAATAGTTACAAATTCAATTTGTGGAAACCTCTGAAACACGTACAGATTGTACGTGCCCAATTGATATGCTATAAAAGTAATTCAATTCCTGATTGCGAATATACACGCTTACATAAGTACATTACATGACATTACAAGGGTATGATGAGTTCATTAGTTTTTCTTTTGTTAGTTTTATGATGTAAACAAAATAAAATAAATCACAAAGCATTATTCTATTTCCATTTTCAAATTTTATATTAAAAAATATATATTTATTTTTATTTTGATATTAGCGTTGACAATGTTGCCCGCTGATAAGAAAATACTCAAGTTCTAAGCTGATAAGCACATAAAAGGTTTGATAAAGGCACAAGAATAAGAGAACAGATAATGTGCACAACATTCTAAAGCTTACAATGCAACTGCCATTAAACACGCAAAACAGGCAAGACAAACATTTGGATATTTCTTTACCAATTCACTTCGATTGATTGCAAGCCATTTGTTCTTATCATTATTGCATTGCAGCTGAGCAAATGAGGAAAGTGGAACCTGGACGAGAAGGAGAAGGGTAACAGTGTACTAGTTGTTGTTACGTGCCAAGTTTTGTAATACACACGTTTGTGTATGGCCGTGTGGAAATCATTTGTTGTTTTGCTGTTGCCAACTGTTTGCGGTTGTCATTTGCATATATAAATAAATGCACTCTCTGCCCCTCTCTCGCTCTCTCTCTCTCACACACCCACACACATACAAGCACAAGCTCTTTTGAATTCGCATTTACACATGTTGTTATTGTTGCCGGCTAGCGTTTAGCGGTCAATTAACATGGAAGTTAACAGGAAGCTAACAGAGAACATCAAAGATGCAACAGAGATGCAAATTTTTGTTTTACGCCCCCATTAATATATAGCAAAAGCGTTTCAGTTTATTCTTCGATGGTTCTTTATTTATTGCACGTTATATATTTTTTATTTTTAATACGACTTTTTGCCGCATAAAATGTAATTGTATGCAGCCCTCATAAATAAAAGTTTGGAAAAATGGGGCCAACAAACAGATTAGTCGAGTGCGTGTCAAATGTTTGTTGTAACAGTCGTAAATGTTGTAATTGACTAGCGACAAACATAGCCGTAGCTCGAAACGAGGGCAAAGCATGTCAAGCTGAAGGAGAAAATTAAGAAGAAGCAGAAAAGTATATACGTTACGAGTTACACGTTTTCTTTTTTTGGCTATTGATATACAACGTACAAATCTCAAGATGCGCCTATCGATTTCTATTAAAAAGAGTAATGGGACTTAGAGAGAGATAGCAAATGACAAACAATTTAGAGCAGTGGTTACGCTTCAGACCGTTGGGCGCGGCTACATAAAGGGAAAGGATAGGCGGGGTGGGTTACAGGCAAATGTTGCTGTTAAGGCAAATTTTAGCGACCTTTCTGCATCCCCTTCTCCTTTTAGATGTTCCTTTTGACAATGTTCAGCACTGTTAGTGGAAATGTTACTACACGTGCACGTGCGCCGCTTACAGGCTTTTGATGTTACAGGCTGGCGGATGGCTTACAGGCATTCGACTTACCGTTGTGCCTTCCTCAAAGGCTACCGCCTCGAATGATTTTTTTTCGAAAGTTTCTAATAGATCGTGTAAATCCAGCTGTGTCACGTTGACCATTTCGTTTAGCGTTATGCTGCTCATTTTTGCGGCGCTGCATTTACCGTACGTTTTGTGTGGGTGTCGCGTTCGTATGTAAATTCTATTTCTGATTCGCACACTTGCACAATCTTATATTGCAGAAACACACGCACACAGTCACACACGAATGCGAATACGAGTATCGTTGAATATTTGTTTAAACAATATAATTTATCGACTTCTGCTTTGCTTATATCGTATCTACGTTTTAGACAGAATTTTATAGTTGCTCTTTCTTTTTCTTTTTCTTGTTATTGTGTTGTTTTTGCTGTTGCTGTTGTTGTGCTTTTATGTCTGCATTTGCTTTGCGTTCCGTTTTCAAGTTTGTTTTGTCAACGCCTTTTTAGGCTGAAACGCGACGTCATCAATTTTTGCCGCGACGTCAGCAACCACTTCAGCATCACCGCGCGTTAAAAACAAACCAATTTGCACACCTTTCAGCAAAGTCGTACAAATTTGATTAATTAATTACGCGCTAGTATTTTTGCTCTCACTTTAATTACGACGTAAATAGCACACCGACCGAACACAACAAAACTCTGCGTACGTATGTGTTGGGTTTGACTCCCGTTCATTTCGTCTGTTAACTTAACATTTTATAAACATAACACTAACAGCGCAACAACAGTGTTTCAAATGTCTTTACAACTCTTCTCAAATTGTTATCAATATATTACATAAAAATTTGAAAAGAAACAAATTCATCATTTATTGTGTATACAACCATAATATATGGCCAAGTTTGTTTACCAACATTGCCACAACAGTGATAATCTGGTTCTAGAACAGAGTCGGATGTCAAAATACTAGAACAGGCACGACGTCGATAATATGACAGCGATAGCACATGTTAACGCAGTTCATACTACTGTTAGCGCAAAAATGACGCAAGGCGGGACCCGGTAATCAGCCAATTCAATTTGAATACTTATTATCAGAAAATTGATACCAATTTTATTTATCTGCATTTTGAACTACAATTATTGTTATTTTAGAGTCTGGCACTAACAAAACTTCATGGGATTTAGTGCGTACCCGCAGCATCAACAATTCATCAGTGGGATCAATGTGTTCTATTCCTCGCTCTATTCTGCCTTGAAGTTCTTGAAATAGTCCAACAAATTTGACAGATGACTTAAATTCCATTGTGCTTTTTACTGGATGACCCGATTCGTTAACAATAACAATATCGCGGATGTTTTTCTTCTTTTCAATTTGTCGAAAAGCTTCTTCAACATATTGAAGCGTTCTTCGTGGCTATAAATAAATAATTATTATTTTATAAATAATGATATTTTTTTAGGTTTTACCTTTTCAGGAGAAGCTTTAATCATAGTTAATCAATTAATTCAGTCACTATATACCACATATTTTTTACTTTATTTGGTTGCCATGGACCTGCTTACGACTGTTATGTAGGTCTGCAGGTCAAGTACCGGTGTCTAGTATGCCCCATTTTGAGCTAACTTACGTAAATGGTATTTTTCTTTTATTCTCACAATTATTTAACTGATATTATTCTAAGCTTTGTAATAGGAAAAATATATATATAAAGATCATTTGTGCAATCCTCAACATATATTAACAAACAACAGTGGACTGGTATTTTTAACTTAATTTGGTTTTTTCTGTTCTTGAAAGGTGGTCACACCGCCGTATCGAACAAACAAACTTTTATTTTTTTTTGCAAAAAATTGAATATTTAAGAGATTAAGCTAAACTCTCAGAAAAATGGTAAATAAATTATGAATAATACAAAATTATACTAAATTTATATTCTTTTTTAATAACAGTCGCAAGAAGTAGAAGAAACGTTGAAGCGAATCCAAAGCCATAAGGGTGTCGTTGGAACAATTGTCGTCAACAACGAAGGTACATTCATAATTTTTATTCATTTTGTGATACCTTATTCACACATAGTTGGCTTATTAGGTATTCCAGTTAAGTCGACGCTTGACAACACAACAACCGTTCAATATGCGGGTCTGATGAGTCAACTGGCCGACAAAGCGCGGAGTGTGGTACGCGATCTCGACCCATCCAACGATATGACATTCCTTCGAGTGCGCTCCAAGAAACATGAAATTATGGTCGCACCCGACAAGGATTTTATTCTCATTGTTATTCAAAATCCAACCGACTAAATGTTTACTAAACAAAACTTATTGCTGATAAAGAGTTGTGTAGTTCATTAATAGAATATAGAAATAAGTAATTTGGCACGCTCATACATATAAAAAGCCTTTGAAGTCATGTTGTGATCTCATTGGGGAGCTAACAGCTTTATTAACATTTGGGAACGGATTTTAGCAGCTGGTTGAAAAGCAAAATATTAACATTACATCTACAAAGCTCAGCTGTTCAATGACCAAATGTTACCAATCGATTAATGAGAGAATATTCGACCACTGAAGTATACATATACCGTTTGTTAGTTCTAATTACTTTAAATTTATATTTATTTAAAAACGTGTATTACTTTATTTAAATTCATTAATACAACCACAAACATTTTTATAATCATTCAACATGTAATCGATATTCTATGTTGAAAGGCAACTGTTTTATGGTAATGTCTTTTAAATTTAACCAAAAAAAAATTAATAAATAAACATCTTCGTTCATAATCAAAAATAAACATCAGATTCTTTGAAATAAAATTGTATATTCAAATTTGAAACCTAATTTTCACATCTAATACAGACTAATCGATAGCGCTTGGGTCGTTGTTGTAATTTACGATAGTACAAATATTATCGCTTGTGAAATATCGACGTTCTGCCATCTCCCTAACCTCAGCGAGTCTGTCGACAAGTCGTGTGTGTGGTAGTGGTGAAAACTTATAAGTTTTAACAAATGCATTTAAAAAATTACTAAAGCAAAAATTTAACCAATAGTGAAATATATAAATATTATATATACAAAATACTTTAAATAAATCGGCAACACAGTGAACGCGTGTGCAAAGCAATAATTACAAAAATTTAACAAAGAGGTAAATGTGAAATTGGGCGTGCAAGAGTAAAGAAAATGGCGTAATCACGCACTCAAACCAGCAAACGGCAACGCAAACGGAATCTACGCTCCCCAATCAGCCAGTCAGCATTTAATGGTCGTTCGTTCTTTCAATATTTGATTAAAAAACCAGAAATACATGTATACTTACGTACATATGTGTAAATATATATAAATATATTTATATTTATTGTGTATATATACATATACATATATATGTATATATAATTAGTGTGAATGTGAAAAGTTTTTATAAGCTTTAATGTGAGCAGCGTAAGCGATTTCAACGCAAGTTTCTGTGCAGCCATATTTGTTCCGTGAAAAATGAAAATGATATGTACATACATACATACATACATTCATGAATATGTATGTATATAAACAATTAACTGAAAAAAGAATCACTTCGTATCAAATCTTCGTCCCGTTGTTCGCAAACCCAAGCAATTTTCAACGATTCGTACCATACAAACCAACATCGATACGTCGTATTATGTACAAATGTTCATACATACATACATACATACTTTCAATATCGACGATGGCATCACACAAGAGCGCACACGCATACGAACTCAGACAAACCTCATGCACGCACGTACTACGTAGAGACAATGTGTATGTACATATGTATGTCTCGCCAACCGCTGCTGCTGGTACATAACAGAGTTGAACACATAAGGGCTGGCTCAATTTATAAATAAGAGGCGAAGCATGTGCTGCGCAGCAACTGCGCTGCTGACTACGACAGCGACTGCATTGCAGCGCTAGGGATTTTATTACGTACAGCTCGAGCGAACATCAGTTCGCTGTTGTTGGTGTCGCTGTCGTTGGGTTCGTTTATATTTTTGGATATTTACATATGTATATATTTACATGTGCTTGAATTGGTTTGGTGTATGTGCATCTAGGAGAGGTCTCGTTAAATGCATATATGATACGTAAAACGTAAAACGCGACGCTATACAAAACAACGTAATTGTTCAAACGTTTCAATTCCCACCCACAACGCGTATTCGCGTATGTTTTTTTGTCGCATTCCACATGTACATACACACATACGCATGCAGAATTCAATATGGCAGCAACAACAACAAGAGCGAATTGCAATATTTTTCACTGCATTGAAAGCAGACAAAAGTGTCCTAAAATTTGACTTTACATTAGTGTTATACGCATCTGTACCTGCAATAATCAATTTGAAATCAATAATCAATGCTATTGGGAACAGTGAAGCTGTAAATATAAATTCTCAGGTGTGAATCACATGGTGAATTGAAAAAAAAAAATTACTTGCGAAAAACAGCAGCAACAAAGTCGCAGTAAATAATAACAAATAAAAAAGTTGCTTCCTTAAATCATGTGGCAGAGATAACATGAGTCAAACGTGTGTTATTTTTTTTACCTTTGAATTTTCTTAGTCAGCCAATTCGAAAAACAGTTACGCTCAAACCATACATCTATTTTTATCGGGCGTAGCTTGTTACAGCTTGAAGTCCAATAATAATAATAATAATAACTATATTATTGCGATCGTTGTTTGCTTATATCTTATCGTATCAGGTGTGGAATAGATAAATGCACATACCAAGCGACCAATTTGAAAAAAAAAAAAAAAAACACCTTTTTGTTCGTGACGTTGACCGAAGTGGTTTCGTCTTCTTCGCGTTGAACTTTCGACCTCCGCCTTCAGTGTGTAAAATGTGTGAAATGATCGACGCTTTTTGTATTTGAGCTCTATTCGAGTAATCTATTCGATTGGAATTCGTATAGATAGAAAATATTTTAAACTTGATCTTTTTATATGTTTCTCATGTAGAAAAAAAAACTTTAATCAATCAATTATACTGTTATTATGAATTAAACTTGGTTTAAACTAATATTAATTATAATATTTTCAGAAAATAAAATTTCTAAATCATTCAATTATAACATCCGAATTTATTTTCAATTATTTTCAATATTTGACTATATTTGTATATATAAACAGATTTTTAATTCAATATATGATGCAAATTAAATTTACTTTCAAGTGATTTTATATTCGTTAATAAGTTATATTTTTGAGATTTAGATTAAAAAGATGAATCTAGCCTATAAAAATCCTTTTCAACCACATTTAATATTTTTATAATTAAAAAAAAAAAAAAGATTATTTATAATATATAATGTGTATTCAATGAATCTTCATAAATATGTATTTAAAAACATTTGGTGATGTTCTTAGTTTGTGAACTGTTGTGTTCGCTTCGATCAAAAGTGACCGACAGGCGACCGACTTATATCGCAGCAGCAGTAAGACACACACACGCACGCATACTGTCGAAAGAACAACCCCAAAGAGACTCACACACACACACAGAGGCGAATGGCCCTGCAGCAGCAGCAGCAGAAGCAGCAGCTTTCTTTCTTCCCTTACTCTAGTTTTTTGGGCACCAAACCGGTTTTCATCCCTGTTGTTATGTGGACTTGGTTTTCATTTCATTTCATTTTATTATTACTGTGAAATCGCAGAAGTAATGAGAAAATGGGAAACTCACACCATTTAGGAAATGGCTCCATCGTATACTGGCAGCTCTTGGCCTGGCCAGCTTAATACTGTGCCCGCAAATACAAAGTAATCAAATTTATTAGCTAATTGTTGTGGACGAACGGCAAGGGGGAGGAGCAGGGGCAACTGAAATATCGGGAGTGGAGCTTGTGCATGCGTGCGTGCGTGCTGCTACTCGTGTCTACCGAAGCGTTTGTCTGTCGCTCTGTTCGCAAAGCTCGGAACAACACGTAGAAACATTGGCCTATGTGTATACTAAATGTCTTCTGTACATATACAGATTTTTTATATGTATATATAAATATATATAAGTATATGTATGAGTGTGCACAATGCATATATTAAATGCCGCGTAGCGTTATCGTCAAAAACAAAAACAAACAAAACCATTATACCCTGATTTCCCATTTTCAATGGGTTCAGGGTATAAAAACATCAAATCAGCAACAACAACAAACTCAAATATAGCAAAATTATTTTTGGCTTCGTTTTTTCCCGAACAACACGCAACAAAATTGCACAAAACAAAATCCGTCTCTCTTTAAAACAGATTGTGTCTGAATATATCCCAGGGCTGCAAAATCATCGATCTATGAATGTCGATTTAACAAATTCGATTGAATGGTAGTTCTCTTAAAAAGAAAATGTATATATTTCAAATTGTTAGGAAAGCAATTAAACTTTTGTATAAAATCTAAAATTTAGTTGATTTCAATTATATAATAGATACTACAAATTGATTACAGATTCATGTTGAATATAAGATTTTAAACTCTAGATAGTCATTTCATTTAAATAATGTTTGTATAATATAATAATAATATATTATATTATTAAAGTTTAGTTTCATTTAGTTTAGACATCAATTCGCAACCGGTTTTTAGTCCCTGTTATGAATGTATGCATGTGTGAATGGATCTGTGTGCGTGCATATATGGACATATTTATTCCCCGCTGTTGAATCAGTCGAAAACATGTTTCATAGCAGCTGGATAGTGATTATATATTTAGGATGTTTAGTTTTAACACCTGCCAGCGGAATCATCTGGCTACCTGCGCAGCATATGCACAAGACGTATTTGTTGTGAATTTCTCCTTGAGCAGTTGAACTTTGACCCAATCACTGCTGGTGCCGAAAATACAAAACAGAGAAACACACAAAAACACCAAACTGCAAAGTGAAATTCGCAAAACCGACCAAAAATTCCCCAAAAAAAGACAAAATTCCAAAATGCGAAATGCAACTGCACTTGTCCATGTGTGTGTGTGGGTCCGTTGGCTGTGCGTGCATTTGTGTGCGTGTGCTCTCATTTTGAAAGAAACGACAAAAGACACCAACTGCGACGATGACGCTGACGACCGAGAGACAGACGACCTTTTATTTACTTTTTGGCATAGGGAAACGGGGACCTGAAATCTGAGTACGTTGAACATCTGTTCCGAATGGTTGTTTTTGTTGTTTCGATTTTTTTTTTGTTCATATTGTCGGGCACAAAGAAGATTTCACCAAGAAATTATTGGAATACATGTTTCGGCTCATGCACACACGAGCAACTCTTGAAGTACACACTCATATATGTATATAAATATCTGCATATGTATATATATATATATATATACGTGTATGTGAATGCATTTATATAAGTGTGTGTGTGTGTGTGTGTGTGTGTGTGTGTACTGCATATATTGTATGGGAAAACACAATGCAAAGTGTGAAACAAGACTCTTTCTCACATACGTACCTGCTTTATTTCATTCCAGGTAAATCGACGACAACTGAATACCTAAAAGCGGCAATACAACAACAACAACAGCTAGGGGCAACATCGAAGCAGCGGCACGCAGAATAAAGAAACAAGGAAACATTTGCACAGCAACCAGCCGACGACAGCAAGAGCAGCAGCAGCAGCAACCGACAAGAAAAACCACTTCAACAAAAGAGGATAACATATTGAAAGAGCTCTACTCACACAAACCCTCTCACACACACAGACTGACGACAACGGAGCTGCCAACTTGCACGTATGTACGTGGGAAAGTAAACCGACATCTTTTTACGACGTCGTCGAGTTTTGCAATCGGGCGAGAGAGCCACCGAGAGCTGAAGCTTAGTTCGACAAACACGCAGCAGGGCCAGGGCTAGCCCTTTGATAACACACACACACATACGCACGCATGTACGCCCACTGTGAAGCGTAGTCAAAGGCGATCGAACGAACGAGCGTACCTAGCTGGACATTGCAAGAGCGCAAGACAAGTGACAGAGAGCGAGAGAGAGAGAGACTCTGGTAGAGCTGTAGCTGTTCGGCATTTTAGTGTTCGGTGTTCGGTGTTGCTTAACAACCGTTACTACAAACTCGAACTCGGACGCACAACGAATTTGGAAATCTCGGCAGCGGCGAGTCGACGAGCAGCGCGCATTCGTGAAAGTGCGTCGTTGTAGTTGTCGTTGTGCGTGTGCGTGTGCGTGAGCGTGATCAACTTGGAGCCGCGCACTCAGTCGACTGCATTTACGAAATACTAGAGTTGCCACATCGTTTGCGCACATGAAAGTACATAGAGCATAAATCCATAACAACGACGTGAACATCAACAGCAACAGCAACAGCAGAGAACACCCCAGGGCAAGGGACAGCAAAATAGCAGCGATTCAATCCAGACTTCAAATGAAAACACTAGTGCTCAGTCCAGACGATCTGCAGAACTTTAACAAGTTCATTTACGATCCGAAATCAGCAGCTCAGTTGGCCGCCAGTGCGGGCGCCATTGCAGCAGCCGCCCATGGACATCCAGGAGGCGTGCAGCTAGTGGCAGGCGGCACAGCGGTGCCCGTCACCACGATGAGCACTGTGGGGGGCGGCGGCACAGGCGCCGGCGCGGGCGCAGTGAACAATACCAACAAGCTAATGGCATTGCAGTACTATCTGAATCATCAGGGCAACTATGTGGGCACAGCGCAGGCGGCAGGCAACAACAACGCAGCCGCAGCTCATGCGCAGCAGCAACAGCTGCTCGCGCAGTCGCAGACACAGCTGAAGCAGCTGCAGCTCAAACAGCCAACCATACACCAGCACCAGCAGCACATCAGCTATCATCATCACCATCCCTACTACCAGCAGCACCAACAGCAGCCGCAGCAGCAACAGCAACAGTCGCAGCTGAGCCACAGCCATCACGGCCAGCACAAGGCGCAGGTGCAGGTGCAACAGCAGCAGCAACAGCAGGTGCAGCAAAGTCAACAGAATCATTTGCCTGTGCATGCGCTCAATCAGAACTCAAATTTCTCGGCGGCCAGCTCCAGCACAGGAGGCACCGCCTCCAGCCATGCGCCCACACAGCAATCGAACGGCTCCAGCGTCTCACCCACAATCATCAGCCATCAGCCACGCGGCGCAGTTGCGATTGCCGGTGGCAGCAACAGCAATATCGCTGCCGCGGCAAATGCGCTGCTGCGTGCCACAGCCGCGGCCAGTGTGCCTGGCTCCTCATCAGTGTCAGCATCTGCATCGTCGTCCGGCTCATCGTCGTCATCCTCTTCAACGTCGTCGTCCGCCTCGTCAACATCCGCCTCCGGCTCCGCCAACTGTGCCAAGAAACTGAAAACAGAGCCGCTCCTCTCGCAATACAATCAAACGGAGCGACTCAACTTTGCCAACACGTACATCGTGTGGAGCGAGGAGCATTGGCGCCGTGTGATCTTCCATGATGAGCGACGCTTCAATTTGGATGGCCCCGATGGTTTCTCCTACTACTTTCACGATCTGCGCAACTATGAGCGCACGCTGTCGCAGCGGCCGCGTGGCAACTCCGTCTACATCTACCTGATGATCTGCGTCGGTGGCCCCATCCATCTGGAGGTCTCGTCCGCCAAGCAGCGGCCCGAATCCTGCATCGAGGCCATCTTACGGGAGCGCCCCAACATTGTCAGCAAACTGGGCGGCAACACAGAGTTTGTGCTGCAAGACCACAATTGGATGTCGCATGCTCTGCCCACCGCCCAGGAGCTGCTCAACGGTGAGGGATTGAAGACGCAAAAGTGGCCCACAATTGCCCACGATCTGAACATCATGGAGAACATTTGGGGCTGGCTGATACGCGAGGTGTTTGATGGCGGCCGAAAGTTCTCGCGCAAGGACGACCTCATCTTCCGCATTAAGGAGGCGTGGTCGCGCCTGCCGCACGACCTGATCACCAACCTGTACAGCACGCTGCCGGAGCGGATCACCGAGCTGTATTACACTCAAGGCGTCTACACGAATTGTTGACAACCGACGCTGCAACACGCGAATGCGAATGAATGCGAAGACGACAGTGAAGATGATGCTAAGCGTAAACAGGAACAAGAGCAGGAAGGGGATCGGAAATGGAAATGGAAACGGGAGCGGGCAGAGTATGGAAATGAATGGCAGAAGCTTCCTCGCATGGCAACGGCCTCTGTTGCTGTTGCCGTTGCCGTTGCTTTTTCTGTTGCTCCTCGCACGCATTATGTTCTAGGAGGGCCTCCAACACGTTGGCGATTGCAAATCTTTTCGTACATTTAACTTGACATTTTTTGTGTATAGCTTTAAGATGTATGTGGGCGCGTGTGTGTATGTATGCATGTGTGTGTGTGTGTGTGTGTGTGTCAGGAAGTGTGCGTGTGTGACGGGAGCAACTGAGTCTGCATCCTCATCCGAATCTGAATGCGAATCGATGTCCGTATCTGTATCTGTATCTGTGCGTCTGTGTCTGGTATCTGCCACTGCCTGCATTCAACACGGTTTGGTTATGTATTAAACGGAAGAAGAAATGGAACAAAACTCAAGCGAATTGCTCGCGCCCAACGTGTGGCAACACTGGCTGCTTGCAGGACCCCTCACACAGCCGATGTAGCCAGATCGCTTTGTAATTAGTGTTTGTTTTGTTTTGATTTTATTCTGCAGCGAATCCCCGATCTTAACTTTAAGGCCTACTATTAGTTGTCGTTTTATATAGAAAACTCCCTCTTACCCGGTACCCTCCTCCACTCCCCCACCCAAGCGTATAGATATATATATAAATATTAGTTACAAAAAGAAACAAAAATAATAATAATCATTATTTTATTTGCACCTAACTCATTTTGTTGATTGTTTTTTAGTTATGCAAACGAAGTAGGCGAACAAAATTAATGCAAAGCGCGAGAAATAAAACTTGTAACTAAAGTATTATTTTAAGGCATAGTTTTCTGTTTATAGCAAATTACAAACAAGAAACAAACGAGAAACAAACAAGAAAAGAAATCTAAACTAAAAATCCTATCATGTAAAGTTGTTTACCAGCAAGCATAATAATTAAACTAATTATCAATGTAATTAATACTTATTAAAATATAATATATAAATTAACGAAACAAAACAAGAGCAAGCGAAACAGAAAGAGAGAGAGACAGAGAGAGCAAAAGAAAAATAGTGTTAAGATAAATCAACAAATTGGTAGCTCACACTGAAGAGAAATAAAAACAGATAACATTTGAACATAGAACTCATGCTGAACATATATTTGACATAAAAATCAATTCATTTAACCTATACACACCTATTTACACCTATACATAAATACTAAATCGTGATCCACTGAAAAGACCTGCCCTGCGAGGCGTTTCGATTCACTGAACGACATACAGACACACAAATATAGATCGATCCATATAAGATCAGACGACACAGAGAGTACACGCCAACATATGCATATATATATATACGACAAACCGAAGAAGAAATTGCAAAGGGTTTGCAGGCCACCTAATCCTTGGAGCTCTCGATTGAGAGTTGAACACAAGCCCAATTCCCGATTCTCCAATTCAGCAAATTATGTGATTTTCCTTTTGTTTCGCTTTTCGTAATGAACTCAAAATGTCAAAATAAAATAAAGAAAAACAGAAAACAATCTTTATACATACACACATAATACATATAAAATGGAAATATTATGTTTAATTAATAATGAAATGCAATTACCAATAAAAACTACCAGCAAATACGTAAAAATTAATACAACAATATTCCTGTGTTTTCTTGAAGCGTTTGGGTTTGGGTTTCGTATGACTCCTTACAAATTTGTTGAAAGGTTTCGCAAGCTCATTATTTATCTTCTCCCAATAATTTCCCATATTTATCTGTATAGAAAACAAATATCCTTTTAGAGTGCATTTTATTTCAAAACTTTTTTGTGTAAAGTGCTTTATAAAATGTTGTAAAAAAGGTGTATAGATAATACTTTAGATGTATAAATAGACACTTTCATATAAATATATGAATATATATACTCAAAGGCGAGCGTGTAAATGTTTTCCATAAATTGGCACGGCTTTAAATCGAGTATGAGCTACGTATATAAATATATGTATATTGGTAGATCATCATACTATATAGGCGTATAGGCTAGGCACTTTAGTTAAATATAGCAGGATTAATTCAACCTCGTAATTGTGCATTGTTGCATGGCTTGTGGAAATACTACATAGATATACATACATATATGTATATATCTGAAGAATTGTTTGTGCGTATTATTGAAATACTGTTTGGATTGTTAGTTGCCTGAGATTTAGGCTGGAATAATGCTGCGCACACAGGCCGGACTGCAGAAGGGCATGTCCTGCTTGACACAGAAGCGACCACCAATCAAGGACTTGGCGCATTGAGACCCGGCACAGACGAAGCACGGTCCATGCCAGTGGATGTCGCCCCAGGAAACGCCCTGATCGGCCGGCCCAATGGGCAACTGGCAGCGCTTGCAAGTGCCGGCGTAGAACTTGTCATAGCAGTCCAGACATAGCGGCATGTTGGACTTCTCATCGGGTATATACTGCTGGCCAGCCAGCGGCTCGTCGCACTGCAGGCAGCAGAAGTGCTTGATGTGATACGTGGCGCCCTCGGCGGCGGTATATTCCTTGGTGAAGATCAGCTCGTCGCAGGCCTTGCAGCGGGGTATCTTCAGCTTGATGGCCAAGTCGCGTCCACAGTAGACCTGGCCGTGGTGGAAGAAGTACACCAAGTCCGCCAGCAGCTCGCGGCACGTCTGACACTTGAAGCAGCCCGGATGCCAAGCGATCTCCTTGCCCGCTCGCTCCGCCTTGACGGCCACCTCGCCGAACTCAATGGCCAGGCCGCAATCACGGCATTTGATATTCGATACAGCGAGTGCGCCTGTAGCTGCGGCATCTGCAAGTAGAGAATACATGTGTAGTATATAATTAGATCGGTCTGCCCCACTTTACTTACCACCTGGTGCGCTTGCGTCGCCCACGTGTAGCTGTTGGAACTGTTCCGACATGGCGGCACAGTTGGGATACATATTCATGTGCTCAATGCCTGGGATGCTTGCAAACTTGCCCAAGCTGGCGTTGAGGTCCTCGCCCGCATGTCCAGGCGTCGAAGGCTTCGAGCAGAAACCCGAGTCGTGACTGGCGGAGTTGGTAAGCATCTCATTGCCATAACTGATGTCGCCGCCTGCACTGGCTGCGTTGGCCATGTCTGCGAAGAGCTTGTCGATGTCGTCCAGCAGCTGCTCATCGTTCAGCAGCCAATCGTGTACCTGCTTGAGCGGCTCCAGCAGCTGGCATTGATCGTGGCGAATGCCCTTCTCCTGCAGCGTTTGGAACAGGCGATTGTAGTAGGGCGCATTGGCCACGGCCGAGTGGAGCATGTGCTTGTCCACGCCCACGGTTTGCAGCTGCGCCTTGGTGGCAGGCGCCAGGCCATGGAGCTGATGAAGATTAGCCGTGGGCACTGGTGTTGATGCAATGACAACTGGAGCAGCAGGTCGTCCGGAGCGCACCTCCTGTAGAGCCTGCTTCAAAGGCTCCGCCTGTACGATTTGCGCAAACACTGGGTCCCGGTCGTAGTCAATGTGGGCGGGCAGACCACAATCGTACACAATGGTGGACACGCCTCCAAATTTGACACGGCGCATGGGCGTGTCCTGACGCATTTGAGCGCCAAAGCGAGCGGCAACCGGATTTTTAAGCGGCAGTGGCGAGTGGAACGGCGTAGCTGGCGACGATTTGAGTGGTGTTGTGCTCATAACAGGCGCAGGACACACCGTGTTGATCTCCGCTCTGAACTGCGGATTGCTCACATACTCCTTGCGGAACTCAGAGATTGGCCCAAGGCGAGCATCCCGTGAAATATTAAGGTTCTTTTCCTGCAAGTGGATAATATAAAAGTGATAATGAGTGTATATTGATTGATCAATAAAGAATGATTGAACTAATTAAATCATTAAAATTAATTTGTTGAGTGAGACATTTAAGTTTTGTTGAATTTATCGGATATACATTTCAGTTTTGGTGAATATTAATTAAGGAGGTAAGGAAATATATGAAAATTCACCTAAGTAGAATGGAGACTTCAAATTCACCATATTTTCAAACATGGAATGAAAATTGAATCAAGTAAATTGAAGGCGGCAAATTCACCTAAAATCATATACACCAAATTATGAGAAAGCACACCTCACTAGAACATAGACTTAAAAACACACCACAGAACAAATTCTCCAAGTATATACACTTTAAATTCACCTAACAGGTAATACACCATAACGAAATAACTTACAATATTGCTTATTAGTAATTTACGGAAGGCAATAACTGCCTGCTACGACACGAGTAGCCTCGATTGTATGACATACATATATACACCAAATTATGAGAAAGCACACCTCAGTAGAACATAGACTTAAAAACACACCACAAAACAAATTCTCCAAACATATATACTTTAAATTCACCTAACAGATAATACCCCATAACGAAATAATAATGCTTATTAGTAATTAACACAAGACAATAGCTGCCTGCTACGACACGAGTTCACATATACTCCAATAAGTATATAAATATGCGTAATGGAAATAGAGAGCTTGGCTAAAGTGACAGTCTTACCTTCAACGATCCCAATAGCTTATCGTAGATGACGCCATGCGTGACGAGGCTCTGCATGGAGGGCTTGCTGATGCCCAACAGTTTTACTTTCGTTTCGGCTCTCAGAGCGGGATGTGCATCGAATTCCGTGGTGGAATCGCTCAAGGGCTCCGAGAAGGCCACTAGCAGCTTCGGCTGGGGATGTGCTCCTTGCAGGGATAGGGCATTGGCCAACTTTGGATTGGCTAACAGTTCGTTTAGAGTGGCATCCGCAACGGGCGTTATTCCCAAGGAGTGGAACACCTTGCGCGCGGCCTCGGGCACGACTGGCGTTGGTGCAGCCGGCAGCTGGGGCGGCACAATGTGCTCCACTTGAGCATGGGTAAGACGGCCTACTCGAACAACGATGCCCTGGCCCACGCATTGGTCGCGCAGCTTCTGGACGTACTGCTGCAGCTGCTGGGCCTCTGTCTCCGTGAGATTGTCGCAGAGCGCAGCGTCCAGATCATGGGGCGGCACCTGGAACTCCAGTTGCTGCTTGCGCTTGTGTGCAGCGTCGCTGCCAGCAACAGGAATTTGAGCTGCGCCCAATTTTTCCATGTAATCCGAGATCACGTCCGGCGCGGCATTTGGTGGTACCCATTCCACCTGGACGGGCTGGCTGGCCAGGGCCTTAATCTTGATGTCTGTGAGAGAAGGATGCATAAATATAGATCTATACAAACACCAGGGTTACTAATACTAACATGCTGGCTTGGCTCGTATCTGGCCCAGAATCTCGAACTGTGCCCAGCCTGTGGCATCATCGTCCGTGCACATGTGCTGGTCTTTCCGGCACATGCAGTTACGACAAACTTTGCGCCAGAAGTGCAGATCCAGCCCAGGACACTTGTCCAGGCACTCGCCACAAGGAGCGCCGGCTCCTGACTCGTGGCCAAGTTTCGAACGTTTCAACATTTCGCGTCGGCTTTCCAGCTTAGACAGCCATTCCGGCGCCGTGGGCGTCTCGACGCAGGAGTTGGCGTTGCCATTGTTAGTAGTGGCGTTGGGCATCTTGTCAATTAGTCATTCCTCATATACTGGTCATTAAATGGAATTATTAAATTAAATGAAATAAGAAACAAATGAAATGAATATTTCGCAAAGACAAAGCACTTATTAGTGTGACTGGGCACGAATAATAGAAAATTACCAAAAATACCATGGCTAAGCGAAGGCACAGTTGCATTTCGTTAAGTGTGGATTCAATTCTCTTAGTTTAGACATCAACCTTTGAAACTCTCGCTCAGCTGATTTTCGAATTTCGAATGAAAGCTAACTTGGCTGCAGCTCTCTTTTGCTGTGCATTGTTTTCGCGAATCTGCAGCCCTCGCGAAAACCAAAACTTTATTGCCAGCCATTGCATAAAGAAAATATGGAAACATATTCCGTGCAAAAACGTTTAGAAAATAGATTTTAAATACCTGAATTTTGCATACTGGAAAGCAATAAAGTGAAGTGCTATAGAAAAAGTGATCTTAAAGATCTCAACCGTCTTGGCTAAAATATCAAGAAAATGCAATAAATGTATGTGTACGTAGGTGGAAACAACTGCGTCCCACTGAAAAGTGAAAGTGCAGCAGCAGGACAGACAGCGAAGTCGACGAACGGACGGACGGTTGAACAAGCCAGAGAGTGGCAAAAAGTGGCCAACAAGCTGGCAAAGATCAGAAATCGTGTATAAATTGAAAACGAAATGAAATAAAATTGCTTTAATGTGCGTTTTTACCGGTCTCTCCTGTCTTTCGGCAACAAATTGACTTTGAATTTCGCACGGTGGTTGTTTTTGCTTTGCTGTATGCGAATGAATGTGTGCGTGTGTGTTAGTGTGTGTATAAGCGGGTAGGTGGGGAGAAGTAGCTGCATTTGATTTTGAATGCGCCTATGAAAACTGATTTAAGTGAGACTTTGTCAAAGGGTTGAAATATAAATACATATAAATATATACATATACCTATATATATGTATATACTTACATTTAACAATTAGTTGATTGATTATTGTAGTTGCCGTGCGGGTCATTGAGTATCCATTAGCCAAATCAAACGCTGACTTGCCACCTGATTGACCCATAAACATGACCGAAAAGTACGACAGCAACGGCGACTATTCCGCATATAATGAGGACGACAGCAATGAGTATGTTGGCGGAGGTGGTGGTGGAAAACCACGCAAGAGCATAGGCAGCAGCGGCGGCGGCGCCCACAATGGCGACAGCAATGTCCACGATCATCGCGATCGCGATCATGGCGGCCCCGAGGGTAGCGGCAATGTGCAGCTGAACGAAAAGGCCAGCGAGTACATACGCGATTGCATGGCCGAGAAGAATCGCATGGATCGGAAGTTTCCCATTGCCGAGAAGCTCTTGGAAGGCGGTGAGCGTGTTTCTTAAGTTCAGTTTATATGGCAAATAGTACAATTTGGTGTTTTGCAGAGATTGAAAAGGTGCAGACAACTGGACGCATTCCGTCGCGGGAACAAAAGTATGCAGACATATACCGGGAGAAGCCACTGCGCATATCGCAGCGGGTGTTGGTGCCCATACGCGAGCATCCGAAGGTGATTTACGACTAGATATTCATTGTAGCCAAAATGAATTGTTATATACAGTTCTATGTAATCTAACTATATATAAGATGATCTGTCGCTTAAGATTTGAATTCAATTGGCTAGGAGGACTATTTAGATGATATATTTTTATAATTAATCTATAAGATTATTCAAATTTTTGATATATCTATCTTTTATGTACAAATGTTAACACTCAAATCTCTTTTCTTGCAGTTCAACTTTGTGGGCAAGCTGCTTGGCCCCAAGGGCAACTCATTGCGTCGCCTGCAGGAGGAAACGCTGTGCAAGATGACGGTGCTTGGTCGCAACTCGATGAGGGATCGTGCCAAGGAAGAGGAGCTACGCAGCTCAAAGGATCCCAAGTACGCTCACCTGAACAGCGACCTGCACGTGGAGATATCAACGATTGCGCCACCCGCAGAGGCATATGCGCGCATCGCGTATGCCATGGCCGAGCTGCGCAAATATCTTATACCGGATAGCAACGATATTATACGGCAGGAGCAACTGCGTGAGCTGATGGATAGCACTAGCCTAAATGACAACGACTCCAATTCCAAGAGTAACTACAAGAAAATTGCGCATATGCAGAACGCCGGCATCGGCGCTAATGCCATGGGGGGTCAGGGTCTGGTTAACTCAAGTGGTGGCGGTGGTGGCTCCAGTATGTCGAAAAATTCGGCTCATCACAACTACAGGTAAGTGTTATAGTTGCATTAGAGATTAGCTGTTGGCCTAACTCGAACTTCTTTTAATACGCAGAAGTTCGCAACAAGCGTCGTTTAGCAAAAATGTCCTGGCGCCCAAGCAGAAGGTCATGTCCATCCTAGAGAAGGCCAGAACAGCAATGGATGAAACTTACGGGTGAGCTTAAAATAAATTAATTCAGCCACCAATAGCTTATGATACTATTTTAATTGGTATTTTGTAGGCGGGGCTATGACGACGGCATTTCCTATGATCCGCATCAAACCTATGACGCCTACAGCTATGCATCGCACGGTGGACACGCCCATGGGCCTCACGGACCGCCCAACAACATATTGGGCGGCGTTGGCAACATCAGCGGCGTCAGTGGAGGAACTCGTGGCGGTCACTATGAAACTCAAGATTATGAAACGGATTACTCTCGAAGGGATTACTATCAACATTCACCTGGATACGCAGGTACATAAGAAGAGGTTTTATATAGGCAATATTAGAGTTGCAGCTCAACTTTTCATCAGCCAACATTAATTATTCTAGTTCGTTTAAGTAAACTCTTTGTATTTTATGATAGAAAATTATTTAAGTTTGAGTAACTAAATACAGGCTTGTATCTTTGCAGCTAGTGGCTCCGTAGCGTCATCAAATCCGAACAATGCAACAGGTATAAATTCGAACCACAATCGCAGTCATGTTAACAGGTGAAATTTGTTGGGTTCGAGAAACGCGAGCAATGGAGATGGTGTGAGAAGCATAAGGAGTGTGACAAGTCCCATACCGAAACCCCACTATATGACCCGATTCATCAACAACAGTAGCAACAGGAACCACAACAACAACAAACGCAGCAGCAGCCTTGTGCAAGTGGAGTGCAACAACAACCAAAAGGCAGATGACAACAAAAAGGGCAACAGCAATGGCAGCCACAAGGTAACAGCCAGAGACGAGGCATATTGCAATTACTTTGAATTGATGTATTCTGATAATAATAATGAGTATTTTATAATGCAGAAGCAGAAGCAGCAACAACAGACACAACAACATATTCCACAACAATTGTTGACAGTGCAACATGAACAACAGCAACAACAACATTCACTACAAAATTTCCCACCGCACAACAGTTACAACAAAAACAACAACAATAACAACAATCATTTAAATAGGAATAATAAAATCAGTTCCAACGATGTGAATATTAAATCAGATTCTATATCTGCGAATGTGATGTATGGCCAAATGAGTGCTGCAGTTGCCGGCAAACGCACCATCCACAGCAACAGCCAGAATAACATGAACAGCCAAAACAACAACAACAACAACAACAACATTCACACATTAGGCAGCAAAAACAAGAACAACATGCAACATACCCAAAACAACACAACAACTTTAACTGCGTCCAGTATGCTATTAGTAAGGTATTGAACAAAGCAAAACAAAAAGCAGTTCAGAGCACAGTTAATCAAATGGATATTACAACCATCCCTTGTTCAGTCCAGTGCAGTATTCCTTCATGATTCCTTGCACAGCCAAAGCGCATGTCACAGCAACTATTTGAGATGTAAATACGTAGACAGAGTTCAAAATTATGCCTGCTTGTTGCAATATACATATCCAATGCATATACTCAATTATATATCAATATTTATTATCATGATAAACTATTTGTTTGCATTCACAAATAGGCGCTGCTGACGTAATACACCACAATCCGAGAACACAATTGACATTTCTCTAATCTCTAAATACTCTTAATACTTGCATTCTCTTACAGCCCTTCCATTCCTTCGCTTCATATTCGTGAGATTCCGTTCTTGCCAGTGCAGTTTCTCTAAACCACATTGAACCACTAAACAGATACAATAACAAAATACAGTTAAACAATAACAACAAGAAACAAGCAACCACAACAAATCGAGAGCAACATCACAAATACTTTGTACACTAAATGGAAAGAATATTTACAAACGAAACCTCTAATATATATACATACTTATATATACATACGTGTATATACTAGATACAAACATATACAATATATATATTAAAATAATTAATATAATATATATGTAATATATATATTTTTTTGAGTGCAAGGAAACCGTTGGATGATAATACAGCTGGATCAACAAATTGATATTTTAACCTTGTGTTGGCTGATGGACGATGAACGACAGACAATTTATGCCAAGGATATATTGTCCGGTTTTTTAATCTATATTTACACGAAGAGCAAAACATCTTTAAGATATTCGTAATAAAAGTGCGTGCATAAATAACAAATTATCAAGAGACCGTTAAATAATTAGAAAGGTCAGCTTAAAGCTGGCTATGATACTTTAACTTACATATACATATAATAAAAAAATACTAATATACATATATTTATTATAAATATTATAAATCGGCTTGAACAACAAACTGTAAACATTTCTCGAATACGTACATACATATATATTTCTGTATATTATGCTCGATCTTCAGAATAGAAATGCATTTCTTAAAAACTAATCTAAACTAAAACTAAAAATGCAGTTATAAATAGAAAATTAATTCGAATATTAATATAAATCAATGGTTTTTACAACTTACAATAATCCCACAGGTTATTTTGCTTGTTAACATTTATATACTGAAGATCGGACATGTATATATATTTAAGGATATATATATGTATGTGTGATTGTGCACTGCAGTGGAGCAGTAGGGCTGGAAATCTATGAGATTAATTACTTAAAACTATATAACTGGGCACATTTAAAATAAATTAAATATAACTATATATACAAATACAGAATTGAATATTTACATTCGAATAACTAAAAATAAAAAAAAAAAAAACGATTGACAACATAAAAATAAAAGTAAAACTAAAAATATATTTATAAAATATTAATATGAACAAATACTCGATAACTTAATATACAATACGTATTTATATTATTCAGAAATTGTGAGACGAAGCCCATATGTGGATAATGCTGCAAATGATTACTTTATTAAAACAACAAACAAAACTATTAAAAACGAAAATAATACTCATTGAATTTACATAACTTATTGTCTGCGAAGTCAAAAAGCTCAAAAACATAATTCCCAATTGTATTTTCTACTTTAGTAAGCTTGCGTAAACTAATTTATTGCATATTGCCTAAAAAATTGTGCGATGAAAAGCAAAAATATTTCCCCAAAAGATATACAGCACATGCCAAAATAAAAATAGAGTGTGAAATAACTAGAAAAAACGAAAGACAGTTTGTGCCAAATGTAATCAATGGAGCAATAATATTTTCTGAAACACAATCTTCCAGTTCGATAGACGAAGTCGAATAAGTCGAAGTTCGAATAATTTTGAAAGCCCCTCTCAATGATTTTCTATTATTACTATTATTTTGTATGACTTATAAGCTGAGCTAATTGATACAAATATATAAATATATAAAATAAAAACTCTAACCTATTGTTAGTGATGTGTATTCATAACGAAAACAGATAATTGAATATCTTGTCCAACAAAAAAGAAAGCAAGAAAAATATTTACTTATAACCATGTGAACGTTAAATTGTTAAAAACAATTAAAATCTAGTTTGTAAAACAATATCAGTAAAAAAGAAGATACATACATTTATTTCAAGTAATTATTGTTATTATAGAAATAATAAACAAAACATACTTAAAATCGGTTCCCTAAACCATAATACTGAACTTTAATGATATACATATACATATATGTTTATATATGTAAAAGATACTTAAATTGAATGGCAAGTTAAAATACAATTTACAATACAAACAATAATATTCAATACTAAATAAAAAACTTCCCCGCCCTAAAATGTTTAAACAATAAAACTACGAAGACAAACAAATATTGAGTTATTCTCATTAATTATTTCATGTACAATTAAATAATGAAAATAATAATAAAAATATTTAAAATGTATGCTGAAAACCTTGTTGTGTACGCATTATTTAAAAGGATAAGAGAAATACATATATGAAACATGATTTTTTATTTAGTTTCGTTTTGTCAATTTGAGAAATTCAATTTTTGAAATTTGCTTGCTGTCATAGGCTGCTGATTATGTCACCTTATTTAGCAAAGACACAAACCAGAAGTGAGATATATCCATCTACAAGTTCTCTATAAAAAATTGTAATTAATTTTTTGCCTCAACAGAAAGAGGGAATCGAGGATGTTTTAAAGTGTATATTTATTTTTTATAATTTATTCAATAAACTTAAATTAGTTTTTATATTGCTGTACAATAACCGACTAGAGTTAATTGACTTAAAACTAGAATTTGTAAAAAGTGCTGGAACCCATAACGTATGCTGTCTGAGGCCCAACTCCTTTTGCTATATTCGTTTTACGTACAATATAATTGCAGTAAATTGACTAGAATGTCCCAAATCGGGACTTGTTAGTGCTCCTCTGCTTAGGCATGCAGTAGTCCATCGCTCTGGCCCACCAGCTTTCCGAGTAGCGCCTTGTACAGCACGGACTCCGTGGAGATGCCCTCGCTTTGCAGAAAAAGCAACGTTTCGCGTGCGCACATGGCAAAGCCTAATGCTTCGGCCTCACTGCGTCGATTTGGGACTGCGGGTTGGGGTGGAAAGTTGGCTGCCACCTCGGCATCTGCTTGCACTTCTTCATCGCTATCAAACGCACCGGCCTCCCGCTCATCCAAATCGTGTTCGAACGAATCCAGCTCTGACTGCAACTCCATGATCTTTTGCAGTGCCTCAAGCAAAATGCTATTCGGCGCATCGCCAGCATCGATGGCTGGACTATGCGACTGCTGCACGGGTGGTGTATTAGATCTGGAATCCAGCTCCAAGCGGTGGCGCTTCTCGGCAGTCGACTCAGTGTCCACATCTTGCTGATGCTGCTGGTCCGCTTGCTGAGTCCTAAGCTGATCTGCTCGTTTGCGTTTCATAATCAATTTTCCAGACATAGGAGATCCTCTTCTTCAGTTTTCGTCGTGCTCCGAATGTATACTGTAGTTCGCTTTGCTCCGCGGCACAACCTTCGTTCACCTGGCGATCACAACAACTGAACGTCGAGCGTCCAATGCACCCCAGCCGAGCTGTTGCAGGGAGCGCGATCCTGAAAGCAACCCCAACCAGCAATAAGAGACAGGCGGGCATTAAGGGATGTGCCCAGGCTGGAAACTAAAGGGCAACCGAAAAATTGTTGCAGCTGTTTAAATTTGTCGGCCGCTGCCGGCAGCTGGAGCGGGAAGGCAACAGGATATAGGCAGGATATGTGCGCTGCAATCGAAAGCAACCCCTGACAATCTGCTCTCTAACTGCAGCGGCCTGCTATCTCGTCCACTTCCCGCTCACCCTCGCCCAGTTATTCTGTTGTCTCGTGGCGGTTCCTCTGAGTCGGCCATCCTCACATTCGTCTGCTCTACTCCCTTTCCCCGTTGCACAGTGCAGCGCATTCGACATGTCGTTGCTAGCCACACCAAGCATTTGCAGCTGGCACGCTTCACAGCCATTTCTTCGATTCGATTTCGATGGCTGCAGACTACGCTTTGACCTGTCATTGTAATGATAAGTGCACACCCTATAAATACACTGCAAATCTAGATTCACATAACGTGGAAATACTATGCAACTCTATGGCATTACCTAAGGTCCTATATCATCAATATGATATACATTTTCTTATACTAAGCTACCTTAATTAATATTGATATAAATAAAATGTTTGCTTTATAAACTTTATTTATTTTATTTGAATACAAACAATTGAAGTTATATATAATTTATAACGGTATTATCAATCTCAATATTATGAATCTCTTTAAAAACATAGGTACATTATGAGGAAAAATATTTTTGGTAAAATCTAATTTTTTTTCAGTGTGTTTTATAGCAAACACAAAAGTTATTTATATTAGGAGCAACTAAAATTTATGATTAGATCGTATGAATGATAGTTTAATATAGAGACTTAATACTGTGTGCAGTAAAGTACAGATTGAAATATATATATTGAATATATGGCTTTTATAGCATCTATATCAATTAAATTATGCAATAAATTTCTAGTAATATTGATCAGTTTGGATTATTGAATATGTTATATATTTTGTATTTGAATATATTATTATTTATTATATGATAAGGTTTTATTATTCATATTATGAAATATAACTTTATTATTAATATATTATAATAATTTTAAAATATTACATATATCTTAAATATATCATAATATCATAAAAATTAAATTGCCATTCCATTTATTTTTGAGTTCATCATCTATAAATCAATTCTGAGAATTAACAATTAATTGCAATAAGTGAATTGGTGATTATACAAATTAAATGTTGAGAGATAGACTTAAGCTTCCGTACATTGAGCAATTGAAATTATCAGATCGTGCTCTTTGCAACAAATAGAGCCAACTTATCGCCAGAGGTACCTGTTTAGCAAAAGAAAGAGAGAGACAGAAAGAGATTGAAATAGATTTAAATGCTGTTTTCTAACAATTTGATTTCAGTTTACTACCAGATCGTAGGACGAGTGCATAGAGTTGAGTGTAAGACACACTGTCTATATTTTGTGGATATTTAAAAATGTTCCTCAAGCCTAAATATGCTCAGTAGATGTTAGATGACAATGTTATTAGTTTGATATAACAGAGAAAGCATTAACTTTTTCTAATAACATTATTAACATGTATTATTGTATTATTACGCTACTCTACCCTCCATATATGTAAAGCATTAGAGAGAGTAAGCAGTAGAAAGAGCGATACCCAGTTCATATTTATATTGTGAGCGTGTACGTAACATTCATTTCATTTTAATTATAGTTGAATGTTGTGTGATGATCTTTTTCAGATCTTTATATATTCTGACTGAGACATGGCAATGGATTTCTATTTTAATCATTTGATTGAGATTTAGATTTAAAGTGTAATCCAAATAGGGTTTAAATTTGGCTCACTAGAGCAAGCATCTGCAAAGTCTATTTAAGATTACTTGATTGCCGTAGCAGAACTGAGGCGTTACTGAGCTAGAATTATATAAAAGCGTTAAAGAATGAGATTTTTCATTTCAGTTTCAAAATGAGGCTATTTCATATCTTAGATTTTTGCATGCTATTCGCTGCGTTGATTCGCGCGAATCCCATCGAAGACTCCATCAAACAAGTTGTTGAATTCACAATTCTCCACAATAATGATAATCACGCGAGATTCGAGCAGACGAATAAATATGGCGCAGTATGCACTCAGAAAGATGCGAACATGAATAAATGCTTCGGTGGCTTTGCAAGGGTAGCACATGTGTAAAGTTGTCTACTTACTTCCGCTATATTCGTATATCTACAAATCTATACATTTTTACAGAGTGCGAAAATATCGCGAGGAGGCTAAGAATGGCGGTACTCCCGTATTATACTTAAATGCAGGTGATACATTCACCGGAACTCTTTGGTTCACAATCTTTAAGGATAAAATTGCTAGCACTTTTCTCAACAAACTTCAACCGGATGCGCTGGTAGGACAACTGACTGCCACAATGATCTCCGTTTGATATTAATAGCCGGGTTTAGTGTCTAGGGAACCACGAGTTTGATAACGGCATCGAAGGGCTTGTCTCATTTCTGGAGGATATAAACGCTCCAGTTGTTGTGTCGAATTTGGACTATTCAAAGGAACCCGACCTGGTTGCCACTAATAAATTGAGCAACTCTACAGTTCTGGAGATTAACGGGTCTAAAATTGGCATAATAGGCTATCTGACGCCAAAAACCAAGCAGGACTACATCAACAATGTAGAATTCAATGAGGAAATCACATCCATAAAGTGAGCATACATTAGTAGTTGTCGCTCTTAACTATTTTCACTGATTCATTTCAAGTGCTGAGGCTGCAAAGCTAAAGGCACAGGGGATCAACATTATCATTGCCTTGGGTCACTCGGGATACCAAAAGGATCAGGATATTGCCAGAGATTGTCCCGAGGTGGATATAGTCGTTGGTGGTCATACGCACACCTATTTGGACGCCAATCGACCTGTTGCAGACAAGAACGACGCCAATCCTGAAGCAGTGCGAGGACCCTATCCGACCACAGTGGTTCAGAAGAGCGGAAAGAAGGTTCCTGTGGTTCAGGCCTACACCAACACAAAGTATTTGGGCAAGTTGCAAGTGAAGGTAATACCTGAACTTTCATTCGATTTACCTAAAATAAACTGCGTTTTGAGTCTAGTTCAATGCGGATGGAAACTTAATTGAATTCGCTGGTGAGCCAATTCTGTTGAATGCCTCAGTAGCACAGGAGCAAGATATGCTGGATTTACTGGATACTTTACGTCCAAATATTACGGCCAAGGGAAAGCAAGTTATAGGCCGCACTAAGGTACATCTCGAGGGAGGTAATGTGTGTCGCTGGCGAGAATGCAATCTGGGTAATTTGATGGCCGACTCTATGGTCTACTCTCGCATGTTGGAAAGCAAGGGCGGCGAGTATTGGACTGACGCAGCCATTGCTCTGATACCGGGTGGCGGTACGTACAGAGTAGATAAATCAATGATGGTTCCCCAATTGAAAAATCCACATTTTTCAGGCATACGCACTTCCATCAATAAGAATGCTAATGGCTCCATAACTTATAGAAACATGGCTGAAACGATTCCCTTTGAGAATCGTCTGCTTGTGACACGCATTAGCGGAAAGACTCTGCTCAATGCCTTGGAGCACTCAGCGTCTGTTCGGAACAAAGACTCCAACGGTGGTTTTCAACAATTATCTGGCATCCGTGTGGAGTACAACTACGATAAGGCTGAGGGACACCGAGTAACTTCCGCTCTAGTACTCTGTGCCCAATGCAGTGTTCCTTCCTACAGCAAACTCAATGAAACGGAATACTACAACGTTATTGTGACCGATTTTCATCTGAATGGCGGAGATGGATATAAACTCATCGAAAAGCAAGATCAGTTCACTGAGTTATTGGAGAAAGATGATAAGGGTGCTCTACAGCAGTACCTAGAGGGTCACAGCTTTATTTATACCGGGATGGAGAATCGCATTGTTATAACAAAATCATAGATTATTCTCAAGAAATGCTCAATAAATATTCATTTCTATTTCCACTATATCTATATCTATACCTTTTTAACTAATTATAATATACATATATATATATATATATATATATATATATATATATATATATA